GATTACAACATTTTCCTTACTTAAATAGGATAATTAGGATATTTTAGCCAATCCTACTGCATTAAAATCAGTGGAATGCAAACTTTATTGAAAAATACAATACCATCAAACGATAAAAACTAAACTAAACAATTCTTTTTAAAACGAATTTGTTAACATTGGACCTCGTCCAAAACGGTTCCAGTCCACTAAAGAAAGTAGTTTTAATAAATGAACACAACTTCGTAACATTATACATGTTGGTACCGCTCCTCAGAGTATTGTCAATTAAAAAACTTGCAAATTCCAACTGGCGAGTCTCATAATCGAATGCGACCCAAAACTTTTAGCGCACCAATTTGTATGAACAACCGAACACGCTCACCTACATATGACACGATTATACAGAGTGTGTATAGCAAACATTTTCGGTGGCAACGGTCCAGTGTAATCGACGTTGTAGCAGCTGGCGTGTCATGTGATAACCCTCGGATATTGTGCCAGTTAGACGACCGACTTCGGAAGCCCGTCCGATACATGACGTGCAAGTCAGATAACTCCCGTTTTATTTTAACTTCAATCGATACTTGTTAGACGTCGGGTATCGTTCAAGTACCCTTTTAGCGTATGAAAACCTTGTTGAAATTTTATATCGCTAGTCAACACTTTCTTTATGAGATAGGTCGGCTAACGAGAAGACCTTATGGGCTACCTGATTGAAAAGAATCAGCATCGCCCGTCGACACCTAAACGAGTTACAAATGCATTACCAGCCTGTTGTGGGTTGTTGGTGATTTGAAAAAAGGGTCTCCTCAGATATCACAAGGCAAGCGTCGTTTCGCGCCGGTAATCTTTGAGTCCGTAGAAGTCCGGTTGATCTGGCCATTGAAGCATTGCTCTTGCGCCATTTGTATCTCCGTGTTAGCGACATACTTACAGAAGACAACACAATATTGGACAAATATAAATTACTAATCTAGACGTATTTGGATAATAAATACCTAAGTATCATTTTTCTAATTCGGAAATCATACCAAGACGATCTTCCTTACTCACTGCAAAAAAATCCATTTTTATTGAAGCGTCCCGAATGTAGACTTAATTGTGACATTTTCTTTTTACTTGGAATAAACTACTGCTTGACTGCGATCCCTCCTGATGGTAAGCAGTGATGCAATCGGTGATGGTTTTTTTTGTGAGGGGAAAATCATCAAATGACTTCTCCCGCCCAGGGCCGGGCAGGAGGGAGTGTCAGACTCTTACTGACTAAAAACCCCCCTGTTCCTTCTCCTGCTCTGTGCCGAGGTCGCGGTGCTTCATTGCGCTTACCCCGCAGCCCCGGCTGAACATCAGCCCTTTAGGGCCCCGTCTGTGGTGGTCTAATGGCTCTTTGAGGCGCGCGCGGAACGCTACGCGCCGTACGCTCGGGCCTGGTTCTGGTCGGGCGGCGAGCTGCCCTTACTCGCCGACCGCAGGCCCGTGCTTACGGTGGCCGGAGATCGTCCCTCGATCCCCGACGCCCGTAGTGTCGCCAGTTGCGGCTGCTGGGGCGTGAGAAGGAGGATTGCTCCCTCACGCGGGCCGCCTCTCTCTTTGCGAGCATGACTGCTTCACAAAAGGAGGAGACGGCGTCCCAGTTCCTCTCACTCCGCACCATGGCCTCGACTAAGGCCGGGCGCGAGAGGTCGCCGCCGCCGATCACTTCCCTGAGGATACGGCGGTGCTCAGCCCAGGCAGGGCATACCGCTACCGTATGCTCCACCGTATCCTCTAGGTGGTCCTCACAATGACGACACTCGGGCGTTTCCTCCCGCTGAATCCGAAACAGGAACCTACCGAAGCTGCCGTGCCCGGTAAGCACCTGCGTCAGACGGAAGGTGAGGACGCCGTGGCGTCTCTCAAGCCACTCCTCAAAGAGGGGTCTTACCGCTGCAAATTTGAATAGGCTAAGGGCTAATTTTCAATGGTTTTCAAACGCGTCAGAATGTTTTTATAAAACCGTAACAGCAACAATTTGATTCCTCGGATAACATTTATCTGACTATTGAAAAATCAGCCCCTTCCAAACAAATGTAAGTTGTGACGAGAAGTCAATTTTTCCATGAATTGCCGTTTCGGTATGAAACGACATCTATACTGTAGCATAGGAACTATCACGTTGCCAGGAAGCCAGCGAAAGAGGCTTTGTGAGAGGTCCTAGATGGCACTACCTTTCAGGTTAGTTAATCAGTGTTTTCAACTTTTCTCTTTTTTTCTTGTCCCACACCAGGATTTTCTCCTGGGTTATGGGTGCGGTTACAAACATACAATTTCACATAAACATGACGCCCAGGCCCGGAACAACAATTTGTGGATCACACAAGAGTTGTTTCTTGCCACCGCACCAACCGTGCAGTCAAACTTATAAACAATTAATTACATCTTTGACCTTTCCTGGCAATATGACTGACTTACCAGCTAATTATGTAGGTGACAGCCGGAGGACATTCAAATAATCAAATCTCAAATATAAAAGTTATTTAATTAAAATGTTTAGACTTAGGCGGTGCTAGTGTATATGATTTTAATACATTTTAAAGACCGAATTAATTCTAACTTAGTGCAGATGCAACATCAGCATTGTGGAAGTCACGAGGTGGCGACACGAGGAATCGACTCAGCGTATTAGGTGTTGCAATGTTCCGAATATGTCAATTTGTGCATCAATGGACCATCATCTCGCTATTTAATTGACTTCGTGAAGGCACCTGACAAGTCCTTAAAAATCAATAACATGACTTTTATCGTGTTTACAAATAGACCCCTGGATGTTTTATACATATAGGAGGTAGGTAGGTAGTAGGAGAATGACAAACGTTTTTATATTTTTCAATATCATCGGACAAAAAAATCTGTGTCTCGTCTGTGTCCTAAATATATTGGAAAGGAAACAGTCAGATATATATGTACGTGTATATATATGTACGTACGTGTATCCTTCAATTTCAAATAAGCCACAACAGGCCGCAATTGTCGTAATGCAAGATCCTCCGGCCTTGAGCCTCCAAGGGCGGCGCCAATTGACCTTTGCCATAATAAAAATTAATCTATAATATAATTAATTATAATCCCATAAACTTTTTAACACTTTTTCATACCTTTAATTAAACATTATTAGAATACCTACCTAATAGTTAAATTATAATAACCAATTAGGTATATAATTCCACTAATTATTACCATATTCTCTACTGAAATCATAATATATTATAAAGACAATCTGATAGTACAATCACAGCATTACCTACGTGATCATACGCAATCAGGTGGGATTATTAAGCAAACAAAAAGTGTAAATGGGGCATTTATCATTTACAAATAGCTCCGACAAATAGAGGTGTGTTTATACTTCGATATCTGTTAATAGACAATCAGCATATAGTCAATTACTCTTCAAGCGACCTGAATTCTCTCGACAAAAGCCCGTCGACTCATAAGACTTGACGGTCTTCTAGAGTAAATTCGGGTGCCTATGGGGTATCGGTTTAGTTAACTGATGAAATATAAGCAATTTTGGCACGTCTTTTCATCTAAAATTTGAATAAAAATGTTTACAACCAAGTATGCACCTAAATCGCAGTTACATAATAAGTTTGAATTGTATTAATTCTTGCAAAATCGGCTACATTGCTGCTAAATAACGATTAGATCTGTTTTAAAATTCTTACGCAACGAACATAAAAAATCAACTACCAATTTCAGAATTATCATATTAAACTTGAAACGAGTTAAGTAACCTTATCACACACGGGAAGAGATTAAAAAATATTTACACAATTTTACTCATGTCTATGGGCCCCTTACCTAAATTGAAACTAGTCGAGTAACCTAATCACGCCTGAAAAGAAGGAGAAACAAATGCTTATCAAAAAGTAAAACTACTTATTATTACGAAAAAACAAATTTATTTTCCAAAAAATAAATGTCGTAAATTAACAATATTATAACATTATTAAAAAATAACGACGAATAAAAAAGTAGTGACGAAAACATATCATAAAAACTAATGACAAAATATCATCACCAAAAACTCACATAAACAATGTCCTTTCAACAGCAAAAAATATAATATAGATAGCTACAAAATTATTATAAATCCAATAATTTTAAATTTAACTTCTAAAATATATTTTAATGTTGATATCTTCGTGATGGAACTGTGATAGACGCGACTTGTCCTAAAAGCTTGAAAAAAAAAATGAAACATTAAAACAGTGAAAAAAGTGTTCGCTATCAAGCCTGCAAACTGCAAACATTTTTCTCTCTATCATGTCTCCAAATCATACTGAATTATTTAGCTTCAATTTATTTTTGAGCTGCCTCACTTTCAGAAAAATCCTAAAAATATTGTTCTCTTTTTCGGTGATCCCCAAATATCCTGCCAGGGATGGGGATTATATGCCAGTTTAGGAGGGAAACCTATGTCCGCTAGTGGATATCAACGACGACGATGACTAATTGCATTTTAATATGCAATGTTTTCAGGATACCTTGAATTTAAATAAATGCTTTACCTTATTTCTTGAACCTTCATATTTCTTTTAACGTTTATTTGCCAGCAGCTTTCTTTTTACTGAAAGAAAATTTAAGACATCGGTATCTACAAATTGTTTATACATAAATAAAAGGGAGACCTATAACAGGTACCTATTATAATACTAGTTTATTCAATATGTATTGACAGACTATAATATTTTTAATTTTCGACTTAATGCCAAATAATAATCGAATATTAACTGATCGACCATCAAAGGTACAATGTCCAACTACTCGAACGTTCATAATAGCGAAATGATAGGCCTATGGACATTGTATTATCATTCTATCATTATCAGATGGTCAGCCAGGGTTGCGGGGTAAGCGCAATGAGGCACCGCGACCTCAGATTTTAGTCAGTAAGCGTCAGATACTAGGGACGGGAGAATGAAGCCATTCGATAATCCAATAAAAATAGCAACAATAAAATGTATGGTAAGAATAACTCACAACATAGCCATCATTTCGTTTATTGTCTTCACTTTAATGTCAGCTCCGGCGGATGGATAATTGTACATCTCTGGTAAGAAGTTCGCGTATTTTGTAGTGTAAGTGTAATTTTCGACGAACTCATCTATATTTTTCGGCTTGGGATATACCGTAGCAACGTCTGTTGAAAATTATATATTTTATTAGATCGATTATTAGATACAGAAATAAAATATATTGTATACATAAAGAGAAAGTAGAAGGGGAAAGTCGGGAAAGAGCAACCCTTACGAAGCAAGGGCAGGCCGCTAGTAATATATAAAAGAAGATATTATTAACTGTTAAAAATAATGTTTACTGAGAAGAGTATTCTCCTCTATTTGACACATACTTAATTCATAAGCACGGTTTATGACAGCTGCTCCTATTTTGTTGGATATACATCGGACTTCATTAAGATGTGGATAAATACGTCCAACATCCAAATCTTTTTGAGTGACACATTCCGCTAAAGTCTGAAAAGCCATAAAAATAATATTACTTAGGGACTACTTTTCCTAGGCTTCCATTCTTTTTTAGCTAAGGTCATCAAGCCTTTATTCGCCACTTAGATAAGTAGTACAACAAAACAAATTTTCTCAGTACTAAGCTACAAAACAGCACTTTGACATTTCATGTTTTATTTGATTGTGTATTATTGGAATTAATTCCTAGAAGACTGCAGCCCGGTTTATAAGTACAAGTGCTATAATGTACCATGAAAGAACGGGTCGGTTTTTAGTCAATAAGAGTTTGTTCTTGTTTTTTAAATAAAACTTTGCCCCACACTAGGATTTTCTCCTGTGTCGTGGGTGCGTTTACAGACATACAATTCCACATGCACATCACACCCAGACCGGGAACAACAATTTGTGGATCACACAAAGAGTTGTTCCGTGCGGGAATCGAACCCGCGACACGTTACACGGCAGCCAGTTGCCCAGCCACCGCGCCAACCGTGCAGTCAAAGTTTGACGCTCCCTTTGCAAGAAATCTCTTTTAACCTCAAAAAGAAGTTTCCTAATAAGACAAAAGACAAATGATTGGTATGTCGATGAGAGAAATAATTAATAAATATTAGCTATTTCTTAAACTGTCACCAGCATACCTTTGCAGCAGCTAAAAATATGGAGTCAGGTACGTGACGAGCATGACAAGCGATTGCACCCATAGCTATTCCTGGGAATACGTAGGAGTTGTTTCCCTGGCCAGTACAATAAATCTTACCCCCATATTTTACTGGTGGAAATGGAGAGCCTGATGCGTAAACACACCGACCCTAAAACAAACAACACTTATTTTATAAAAAACAAAAAAAACAAAAAAAATGTATCTACTTATATAATTGTATTAATATTATTATTTTCTTAAGTTCTCACAGAAACTGAAGAAAAGCGAAACCGACATTTTTTCGAATAGGTACTTACAAAATTTTTGAGAAAATTCAACTTTTTAACAAAAAAAATAAAAAATCTATCATCATTTTCCATTGAAAAATCATATCTACGATTTTAAAGTTTAAAGCGAATTTTACCCGATTCATGTTTCATACATTACCTCTGTGTGATCGTATGCCTGCTGTGCCGTACATTCTGCTTTTACAGTTGGATTTGAAAGTGCATAAATTTGTGGACGCTCTGCGTTTTTAGCCATTTGCTGTAATATTTCAGGAGTAAAAGAACCACCTACAGTTGAAACACCTAGAAAAACAAATTACTGATCACAAACTTTAATTAAACGTAATACAAAATATAATCATTATTATTGGAGGGATAAAAAAGTTCCTCTTGTTTGGTTCTTGTGGAACCTATGGATACCTAAAAGGTAATCATAGCTACCAAGTCCAAGGTTGTGATACTAATTCCCGTTACATGACCAAAACTGTTTCGGACTACCTCCTGTCAGCTCTGATCGATGACTGTTCACTCTAATTCGATTATTTTAATTCTTTTGTCGTGCCACAACTTAACGTTTCTAATCCTAGTCTCCTCACTTACTTCCGTTCTATTTCTATCTTCCCTTTCTTATCCAAGGTTATTGACGCTTGCGTTAATAGGCAACTCTAGCATTTTACATTTTCTAATTCTTTGCGTCCCTTTCAATTAGACCAGGACGAAGTACCAGAACTCCTTTTTAAAGTAACTAGCGCTGAGGGCGCGGGTCTGAAGGACACTAAAATCAACATGTCCATCCTTCTAGTCATCATGTTCCCTCTTATGGTCTTCGATGACACTTTAAATTGGTCTTGTATGGTTTTATATTCAGAGGCTTTAAAGCATATTGTCCAGGTTGGTTTTCAGCCTAGTAACGTACTTAATCGAAATCTGGCGTACCTCAAGGTGGCATACTTTCACCTCTTCATCAATCTCTCTTTACTACCGAAGTTCTTTACTATCAAAGTGTGTATCATTTGCTTATGACTTGATATGATGACCTTATGACTTGTTGATGATGTAGGTCACAGAATCGTTGCGGGCTCTGTATAGGCTCAACTATTTTCACCCAAAATCAGTCTCATGCGTCTGTGCTCGTTTAGTCGTAGATTGTCATCATGTCATCACTTGCAAATTAGAGTGGTTGCCCATCAATAAGCTCTTCTTGATTCTCCCTCATTAACTACAACTATCCTACTACGTATTTTTAATACACCAGTCCAAATCACAGTAAATATCTTCGTTCTACCCACGCTGATTCTCTTCATTCGTCCTTATATAATTAGTATTAGTAATTGTAGTAGTAATATAAAAGTACTTTTAACAGCGCTCTCGATATAATTTTAATCCAGAGTGCTTGCAAGTTTTTATTACTATATATATATAATTTTAATCCAGAGTGCTTGCAAGTTTTTATTACTATATAAACTATCACATGGGTATTATTATTAAAATACAATATTAAACTTCCATTCTTTATGCAAGATGAATTAAATGGAAAAAAAGCCTTTTTTCGAAAGTATAACTTTGTATGACAGTTGAATATAAAACTATCTGTATATTATCAGAATAAGCAACTTACTCCATGAGGTATGTTCCGGTGGCAATTCAAACCTTGAAGAAACGAGCGTACTCCTTGTAAAATGGCGGGCAACGCGCTTGTGACTCTTCTAGTGACGCATGTGTCGATGGGCGGCGCCGATCACTTACCATTAGGTGATCAGTCTGCTCGTTTGCCTCCTACTCCATAAACAACTTACCAATGAGGCAAGTTGGCTTCAGACTCTTCACTAGTGCTCCGAAGTCGTTTGACGGTTCCATGTCCTTGCCGTATATAGTAGCGTGTGGCGGTATACCACCTTGTCGCCTGGTCGACAGGAGGCCATCAACGTCAAACAAGTATATTTTCTTTACTGCTTCCTCCTTGGAAGTTCCCTCTTCCACCATTGCATCACATAAGAGGTTTGCAATGCCAACGCCAGCCTGAATGAATTCGAATCGCAAGATTTATGATGTGACAGAGGCAATATAGGTTAAAAACAGGGATTGAAGTAGGATGCACGCAGCAGAAATGAATAACCCTAAGGCCGGCTACGCACTCGTAACTCCTTTGGTATTGCAAAGTTTATGAACAGCGCCAATTCCTTACTATTAGGTGGAAATCGGCCTGCACGTTTGACTACGATGATAAGAAATAATGAAAACAAATAATGTAAGAAAATATTTTTAAGCGAGTCTTAGAGAAGCGAAGGTTATTGAATTTTGTAAGTAGTCGTTTCTCGTTGTCAGGTATGTCTAATGGCAAAGAAATAAGTTACGTAGATTAAGAAGGTTGGAAAGAAAAACAAAGCAGGGTGCAAATTAAATTATAATAAAAATGTTCTAATACTTACAGATCCAGCTCCGAGGAATAAATACACATTTTCTTGTAATTTTTTCTTTGTAATTCTACATGCAGCGAGCATACCAGCTACCATCACACTCGCAGTGCCTTGAATATCATCATTAAACGTGCAAAAACAATTCTTATATTTATCCAGAAGTCGGGTAGCGTTCGCAAGTGCAAAATCTTCGAACTGGTAACAAAAGTAATATAATTCATCGTGGAATCGTATTATCCCAAAAATCCTACTATCCTACTATTATGGTAGTATAATAGTAGGTACTATAAGTGTCAAAAAGTTTGTGAGAATGTATGGATGTAGATAATGTTTGTTTTTCTTTCACGCAAAAACAGTTAGATCGATTAGATTGAAATTTGCTAAGTAGATGAATAGATAGTTGATACCCTCAAGGAACATATAGGCTGCTTCTTATCAACATACTTACTACGCGGGCTTAGCTACCGTCCGCGTGGTAAATTAAACATTCAGAAAAATTGAAAATTCAAAAACTTTCCTTGGTTCGACTTAAGATTTATTTTCCAAGACGCCTTTAATTGCAACCACTGGAGCAAGACCAATAAGTAAAAGGTTTATATCCTAATATTCATATAAAATCGAGACATTTTAACAACAAGACATTTTAAAAAAACGGCAAGCGGAAATCTATTGAACTATAACTACAAAATATATATTCAATGAAACTGTACCTGTAAAAGCACTGTCTGCGAATATTGTTTTGTACACGCAACCAAAAATTCTTCAATAAAATCATCGTATTCTGCACCCCTTGCTCGTTTCTGGCGTATTCCTATATACATGGGATCTTCAAGCAGCATCTGAAATATGTTTTAACAAAAATCAATCAACTAATTAAGTGCCAAAAATATGTCATATTCCCTGAAGGGCAGACACGTGCACACACATACCTAATTGTTAATTTAAGAGTCACTTTCTAATAATATTAGATCACTTTATTGAACAATTAGGATAAAATAATGTCAGCTTACTTTTCTTATACCATTCTAGACTCAAAACAAAATTTATTGAAAGTAATGACTTATTTAGGTACGTAAATTAACTGAGCAAAACACGACTAGTTTCAAGTCACAACGGGACGTAGCGTGCGAGTCGTGACGATGTCGCGCAGCCAACTCAAACGTAGTGAGCTGCGCAGCTTACTACAAACTTTTCAGTGAATTCACGTTTCGAAAGTCGTTATTTTGAATAAACTTAGTATTGTCTCATGATGACTGTGGGTGACTATTCAAAAATAGACCCAGAACTATCTAAGGATTGCGTAAATCAGGAAACCTCAACACATTTTGACCAATTTTCGAACCGTGTTTCTTGACTTACTTAGCCTCTGCATTCGTGGTCACTTACAACAACGAAGCAGTCAAGTCTGTCCTAAACCAATACAAGTCCAGGGTATTCCTACCTGGTTATTTGTGCCCACGTCCAAAGTTATAGGTAAGCATTGTGAAGGTGGAACACCAGCTAGTGCCGTATAGAGGCACAGTTTGCCCACTGGTATACCCATACCGTAGGCACCAAGATCGCCTAGGCCCAATATCCTCTCGCCGTCAGTAAAAACAATTGCACGCACTTTGCTTTCTGGCCTGTAACAATTATTTTTTTATGTGATGGGTCGGCAAACGAGCTTGCGGATTACCTGATGGAAAACAATCTGCGCCGCCCATGGACACCCGCAACAACGAAAGAGTTACGTGTGCGTTGCTGACCTTTTGGGGATTAGGGATTTGGAGGTTTTGGGAATGGGGAAGGGAAGGATTGGGCCTGGGGTAACACTGGCCATGGCATCATTGCAGTCGGGCCGACCTATTTCACAATAAAAATTTCTTGTTTTCTTCCAAATCTGTACCAACACTATCATACTACCCTAATTGCAAAATTGTAGCTACATCTAAGTAATGAATAAATGAAAAATAAACTAACCAATTCCGAAGAATTCGTTGAATCTTTCCTTTATCGTGGATTGTTACAAAGAGTCCGCGAGGCCTTCTGTACACTAAGCCGAATCTTTGACAAACCAAACCCACAGTGGGGGTATAAACAAGAGGCAAGTACTTCTCCACGTCTGAAGCCATCAACTCGTAGAATAGTTTCTCATTGGTATCCTGCAAAAGACTTCAACTTAGCAACATTTGTTGCCTAAATCGAGGAAATTTAAATCTTAAAATTATACAAGCATAGGGTTCAATGTGCACGTGCTGCGTCACAGAGTGGTGTTTGAGCAGTCCTTTTAAGTCGGCGGCGATGTGTATAAATGCTATAATCAAGTATTACGCACCTATAAAATGATTGCTTTACCTTCCACAATTTTTTTTGTTCTTTCAATTAATATACTCCATGTCTATATCAAATATAAATAATATATGTATATAAATAATCAAAGATATCTATATAAAATTGTTCGCGTGGAGTAGTGACAAATTTCACAAAAAGACAGACAGACAGAGTTACTTTCGCATTTATAATATTAGTTTGGATTTATAGTTGTTATTTTAAGCATTTAAAAATTACCAGCAACTCCGCCATATAGAGATGTTTATTCAACGGATTTTTGTATCGATCCACTGCGTACTTGCAGATTGCGAGTTGTTCTTCTTGTGTTTGAACGCTACCTGCTAGCAGTCCTTGTATTCCTAGTACTTGTCGCTCTTCCATTGTGAATGCAAGACCCTACAAAAGAGTAGGTAAATTATCTATAACTTAGGTACTCTGTACAGAATAATTACTGTGTAACAATTTTTTCGCTTACCTTATTAAGACTTGGGTATCTTACATAGTCGACACCTCTAATTAAGTTTGGACAAATCTCTTCATCGCTGAATGCACGAACAAATACTCTAAGAGGAATTTTATTTGTGATTTCTCTCACTAGATAATTTACCCTTACAGACTTCATGTTCGATCTATGGCAAAAATAATAATATTAGCCATATTATAAAAATAGTTTGGTTAACTAAAGTAAAGCCTGCTTCTTTGTTTGCTTGCTATCACTAACCGAATGTCTTCCACTGTTTAGCCTGTCCCCATAGGGTATTAGATTGTTAGGTACTTATATATTACTACTTACAGTAGAAGCTAATGTTTTTGTGGACAGTAACTATCGTGAGACGTACTAAATATATTGAACATAAAATAAGTGAATCACACCGGGACTTTTATCATGAGCGATGCGCGTCTCGGCGTCGTCGAAACAGTACCAGCCATTGGTAAATGGCACATAAATATCACGCTCTTGTCAAGAAAGCCGCGTGGGTTAGAGATACAGCCGCCCGCCAGCTTGTCATGCATGGGTGCGAGTTCGAAACCAATTTCAAGTTTATTCGTACCACTGACATACCCCGGTCCATAATAGGAAAGTATCTCACTAGTCATCATATAAAATTGCACGTTGTGAGTCATCTACTTTGTTTGACTGTTTTGTAATTATTTTACCATCAGCTTATAAGTGCCCACTACTAAGCAAAGGCCTCTTGTCATACGGAGAGGGTCTGAGCATTAATCACCACGCTTGCTCAAGGTGCATTGGCGAATTCAATCTTATAATTCGGAAAACATATTATTCCTGGTTTCCCAACGATGTTTTCCTTAACCATATGTCAGTGATATCTAAATATTCATAGAAAGTATATATAACCCGGAAAACGTCAAGTTGGCACTTGCCAGGTTTCGAATCCAACCTCATATCATCATTAATATCTATCTTCATAATATCTATATTTATCACATCAATAGTTTTATAACATGCAAATCCCCGCTCTGATCACCTTGTTAACATATTCCTTACCTGCCAACCAAGCTTAGAAAAGTAGTCCAGCTCCAGATATGAATTGTCCCGGCCGGTCAAGGAGACTTTAACGATGATGCGTAATATAATGGATAGCTGACCACCCCTAAATAGTCTTAGGAGACAGTAAGCTTGGTTTGCTAGAGGGAATACCTATAGGCAGTATCAACATCAAAATGTTTAACAACACTTTATTATGCCAAGAACCTACTGTATGTAAGAAAATATCTACCTACCTGCGTTGTTTTAGAAGAAATCCATTAAAAAACTTAACACCTTTAAATTGAAATTCACAAAAAAATAATTGTATATTAAATTGAAGTTGACAGTAAACAATGAGTTATTCGATTAATTATAAATTTAAATTCTTCTTTTTGACGCAAAGAGCCTGGCAACAATAGTTCTGTGCTTAGTACCTATAACAAACTCTTTCGAGCACTCCACATGAGGAGAGAACGTTTCCTAAAAAAAATATGGAAGCGGGATTCTACGTGAAGAGCTAAATAGAATCCGTCGTGAAACATCGGCAAAAGATGTTTATTTATATTGTTTGCTCATAAAAAGTCAATAGTCAAATAACATTCATTTCTATTAGACCCTTACAGGCACTTTTGAACGTCAAACAAAAATTTTAAAGATGTAAAGTGTAAGTCTGTCGGTCAGTCCTTTTAGTGAAACTATTTGCTCGTTCCAAAGTGTAGATTCCGATAAGCAGAACGAGCAAGAAACTCCAAGGTTAGGTAATCTTTTTAAATCAGTTTCACATATATAGATTCCTTTTACAAACAGTTGGTTCAATTATGTGAGAACAGTGTAACACTAATTTTTATTCAGAGAGAAATAAAAAGAAAATAACCTTAATGACAATAGACAGTCCGGAGCTGACCAGTCCCAACTGACGGCGCCCTTTACGATCATGACACGTACACGAGCATCGCCTAACTCAACCATATTATAGGATTGAGAGATCCAGTGCCCTTGGCACGGTCATTGTGTCATTTGAGTGAGCATGACAACTCCAAGCTGACATAAGGACCGACATTCTGTAAGTCTATAGGTCTAACCTACGGGTCTAACCAATTGTAATAAGTTATTAGTTAGTTATTATGTCTATCTGACACCTTATCAAATAATTTGAAGTTTTTCCTAACATATCATAATGTTTTCATAAATAGACTGACATGGCACAGTCGTAATATTGATCTCTCAAAACTTTTCTCTAAGAGATTCGCGATGCCCTAGGTTGTAAATAGCTCTGATGGCACGCTTTTGCAAGACAAAGATAACCGGTGATCAAACCGCGACCTCCGGTGTAACTCTTATTAAGCAAGTTTTTGCCTCATGGGAACGCTATTGGGTTTTTTGTGACCTGTCCAAGGCGTATGATTGCGTTGAACACTAGACACTGTTGCTGAAGTTGGAAATCTACGACATTCGAGGGGTATCTCTCAATTTATTAAAATCATACCTCCAGGATAGGCAGTTCAAAGTACAAGTAAATAAAGTGAACTCCTATGTTGCTAGCATATCTATGGGCATACCACAGGGCTCTATATTAGGTCCTTCCTTCTTTTTGGTCTGATATTAATGACTTACCTCACTTATTTCAACGTAGACCGGGAATAGTATTTATAATTTGCTGATGACACATCGTTAATTCTTAAAATACATAGACGGACAAAGAATCCTGACTAGGTAAATAATGCTATCGCGAAGGTTCAGAATTGGTTTTCAGTAAATAATTTAGTACCAAACGACAAAAAGACAAAGCGTTTATGATTTAGTTTGCCAAATGTTAAAGGTAACGAATGTGAGATATTATAAAATGTGATATTATTTCAATTATAAAAAAAAACTGTACGCCATTGGACCGTACAACCGTGGATCATTGTGTAGGCCAGTTTCTCACGGTCCGTTGCAACTTTGAGAGCAAATCGTAGAGATATACATTCGAACGATTTAAACTATCTGTACGCACTTTAATTTCATAGGTAGGTGGAAGATAGTCCTGCTATTAAGGTATATTTTTTACATACTCCTGAATAACGGCGTTCATAATAAAATCGATTTGATTCGAGTGTAGTTGTAATTTTGATATTGATTTAAAAATGAAACGTTGCGCTACAGTAAGACTTTCTCCTGTGTCGTCGCTGCGTTTACAAACATACATAAGTCATGCAGACGCGGAAAATTTATGGATCATATAGAGTCGTACCGTGCGGGAATCAAACCCGCAACACGATGCACAGCTGGTCGCTCAGAGCAGAGTGTTGAGATCAAGGAGTATATAAAACAACATCCTAGTTGACGTTGATAAAACACGCCTTTCATCCCTTTTGTTTTTGTTTTTTTTTTGAGGTGATGATTTTATGAGGTTGGGGCAAGAGGAGGTAAATAATTCACTTGATTAAATCGGTATTTAAAATCAATGTCGTATACAAAAAGTGAAATAAAACAATAATTATTATCTTTGGAACATGTTTAATGAGTAACATCTATAATTTTCATTTTAAAAATCGCATTCTCTAACAATAATGTATGTTATGTAATGTTATTTTTTGCCAAGCTGCATTATAATAAAATTAAAGTCATATAATTGACGTAATACAATCAATCAATGTCAATCAAATAAAACCCTGATCGTTAGTATTGCCATTTCATTGATCAATTAACAGACGATAGTTTCACTACGCCAACGATTTTACTTCGTACAACATTAAGCCAAAAAAATAACAAACATGTACAGTGGGATAATTTTATTATACATCGTCACAGCAAGTTAAATCACATAATATCACCTGATACATAAAGAAACATACTGACTACCTAAAATAAAAACATTGTATTTAATTCGCTCAGCGAAAAGTTCGTCTCACTATTATTAAAATACTGAATTCAAAAATAATACTTAGTCAAAACAATAATGATAAAAAAACGTAGGTTCCATGATATATTTTATTCGTCAGTTATAGTTGCAGACACATACAACATTAACTTAATAAATTTATTATTATTTAAGATTGTTTCCTCAATTCACGACCACAATGGATATGGATGCAAACTTGAATAAAAAAAAACTAAACACCAAATCGTGTAAATACAATAATGTATTGTTTAATATAAAATAAATGCTTGTAAGATGTGTGGTCATTGTTTAAAAGAAACATCATCAGAATTAACGCAATTTCAAATGTTTTTTATTTTTATTTTTAAAACGGTGGCACTACAACATTTCCACAATAAATTCTAGACATTCTAACCGATTAGTCTCTAAATGTCTTTATAATATTCATGTTTGTATTTCTTTCCTAATGCTTATCATAATTATAATGATGTGAAATGCAAATTAAATAGATGACCTGCATTTTAATGCTGCGGTGACTAGACTTTTCTTATCTTTCATTCCATATAATGTAAGTGTTATTTTAATTCAAATATTCACAACATTTAAGTAGGTACATTCCATTTTGCTAAACAATTCATTTACAACTTAAAAATAATGTTAGAAAAATATTGTCCTAAATAAATAGCTCGGCACGTCACTATGATGATAATGATAGCTAAAAGAAGCAATAAATAACTATTGTATTATAAGTCGCAGTAAACTAATTGGCAAATATTATTGAAAACAATGTGAAAAGAAAAAAAAACATATGTTATTTTCTTCACCGCACTAAATATTGTCGAACCTTATTATCCTGAAAAGCAGCTATGTGACATTTAGTGAGCAAAGCTAAAAACAACGTTAAAAGGCCACCGTGATTATTATTTTCACACTGCATACGATAACAACATGTTAAAATGCTCAACTACAAGCTACTTGCACACGATGATACGGTCGAAACACTACATTAAATGTGGATTAAGTCCAGTTACTCACAAGAGTTTATTGTGAACATATCCAGAAATACTGTTTCATAGTTATATCCCATAAATGGTCTATCAATTTATTATGTAATACTTTTAGAAGAATACTTACATGCCTAAAATTAGAGAGAAAAATACGAAAAGAGATTCAAGTAACTGGACATTAAACCTAAGTGTAGCAATTAAGATTTTTACAATTTGAACATTAAATATTCACTATGTAAATTACGGAGGTATAAAATACTTTGTGTAAAATAATTATTGTAACAGTAATATTTAAGGACAACATGAACACTCCCATTATAGGCGTTGTGCACTGAACGCATCTTTTATTGCATAACTACCAACATTCCAAAACGAACGTTCCATAATTTAAATTATTTATAACTTAAGTTGGATTTACATTATAGTGTGGTGTGTTGCATTTTAGTACTTTTATGATTTTTTTACACTGTAATTTGAGTAAAATCGTCAACGTGTTTAGCTTTGTATTTCTTATGACAATTTCACATTCACATGGCAACACACTACGCTACGTCAATGTCAACCCATTTTATAAAGCCCCAATTGTTCAATAGTAAAACTCAGATGTGTATGACATCAAAAACATAACAATTTTTCATGATTTTGCAAGAAAATTCATTTCTCAATCGACCATTTTATGAAATTAATAAAAGATAATTAAATCGTCAAACTTTCATGTACAATAGTACTTTTAGCAATATGTACCACTGGGATATTTACATAATGAGCAACGAAAATAGCACTGTTGCTTTCCATCTTCATACTTCAATAACCACATAGATTTTTACGATTGAACGGGTGAATTTTACTATTACATTTGACACACAACCCAAACAAAACTAATACTGATTTAAATGTTTTTGGGGACTGGTTGTATGGGTCTTACATTAAACTTTTCTTCGGGTTTCCAATCCCAGACGACGGGCATAGAGCTTTCATAGTGGAAATTGTACATTTGGTTATGTACGTGCTTCGAAAGATCCTTCGGCTCAGGGTAAACTGAAGCTAGACCTGTAATAGAATTTAGACTTTAATATCTAAGTATAACATTTAAAGTGTATTGTAACTACTTGCTACTTACGTATTTCTTACGATATAATCAAAGAAATCTAAACTTATTCTAATTTTCTGTATGCAACATTACGATCCGAATAACATACGACGACATACTTCAGTAAATTATTCAATACTACAGGCCCCGCTTAACACGAGTATAGAAAATGAAACGCTAAATTACTTTCGAGTATTTCAAGAAAACAAAATGTTTAAGGACTAACATGAAACAAAAAAAAAACATGTGATAGGAAGACCTCTATAGCCAAGAAGATATGTATGAATTATACTATTTATAACTAGCTGATCTGCAAAATTTCGCACTGAGGAATACAGTGATAACATTTTATTTTTTTAAGTTTTTTAATTGACTTTCTCAGTACTTTTATTTGGAAAAAATCACCCCCTAAAAGCATGTTAAGCGAGGCATTTAATCTAAGAATACCCTACGAAACTAAAATTAAAAGTATCTTACTTATAAGTAACCCATTTGAACTTGACGCAAGATCAAAACTAGCAAGTTATAAATATAAAACATTTTTAATTGATTTAAAAATATAAAATTTTCATAAATGTCACGTGTTGCACGGGTGGAGTAAGCCTGTTGACGATTTGTAATCAATTTTTGGACACGGTGGCCAGCTGTAACGGTCCGGCAAGTTAGTAGTATAATTAAAGATGTACTGAAACCTTTTGATGTGTGTACTAAAATCTCTTGGCATTGGGTATAGAGATCCGAGACCTAAGAAAGTTGGATTATTTTAGTTCAACGCCAATAAATGCATTTCAATCTACGTAGATATTTAAAAAACAAACCATTTTATATTCCAGTACTACATTTCTTTTATTCTCAACCTAAGTGTTGCAAGAGAAAAAAAATGTTTTAAGAAAATTCGTTACTAACCAACCATAAAATAAAAGTGTACATATTCACAGAATTTAAGTAGTGCAGATAAGGGTTAAAAAAGTACAGCCGCTAAAGTATAAATTAAAAAAAGTGAGATCAAGAAACATACCTTCATCATAAGCCATTTTGGCAACTTCAATGGCGATGTTTACAGAAACTTCTTTGAGCTCAGCCAGAGATGGGTAAATACGGCCAATGGCAAGATCCTCTTCGCTGACGTAGTGAGCTAAAGTCTGCAAATATAGTAAACGAGCTTTAAAGTTGAACATATTATATTGATACGCATCCATGTATAATGATTGCGGGTATTATAGACTAAAAATGAAAGAAAGGTCCAAGTCAGTCCAGATCATGGGTCTCCTCTGCATAGGAGGTGTAAGCCAAAATCTTCACTCTTTTTAGAGATCTGTGATCGGTGTTTCAGGTGTCTCCTTGGCACCAGCGAGAAGATCAGGAATGTTTTTTTTCTTGTAGGGGAAAAATCATCAAGTCATTTCTCTTGCCCTGGTTAGCCCTGAGTCTCTGACTCTTATTGATAAAAAGCGTTCCTTCTCCCCCTCCGGGCCGGTCCGCGGTACATTATTGCGTTTGCACCCAGAACCTCGGCTTAACATCAGCCATCAGGCCCCATCTGAGGTGATCTAACTAGTCTGATCGGGCATCGAGCTACCCTTTTTTGTCGTTCGCAAATCCGCGAGAGCAGGGGTGGTTAAAAAAAATATTCTACTCTAAAGTGATCTAAGGTTATACAGGGTGTAAAAAGACACTTAACGAAGCCGAAAGCCACGTATTCTACCCATTATTTGGATCATTTTTTTCTTTAAGACCATAGCTGGGTCTCCACGTGTTCTCGAGATATTGAAGGTCAAAACGAATTTTCGATTTTTCTAAATAAAATACGCATTTGAAGTTACGAACAGTAATGTACGCAATAAATAAATGCAGACTCGCACAAAAAACATCCTGCATCTCAGTAGGATTTTTATTTTACAGAATTGTTTTGTTGTTGCGAAGTAAAACGTCGACCTACGTACTTATCACAGCGTTTTAATGCTAAGCTGTGAACCTACGCACACAATAACACGAAGTCGTTTGCTTTACATTGCGGGCAATATTTTTTTTTTTTTTTTTTTGATACCTAAAAATAGAAGTCGTTTCCCAGTAATCATATTAGCGTAAAGCTACTTACTTAGAGCAGTATGCGTAGTTAACGGCTTCGTTAAGTGTCTTTTTACACCCTGTATATGTATCTATATTATACCTTTTTTATAAGGTTAAAATCATCAAATGAGTGTCTTCTCCTGCTCTAGGACTTTATACTTTTAAGCTGTGTGTTGGTTAAATGAATTAATAAAATGCTTACCCTGGCAGCAGTCAAGAACATGGTCTCGGGTATATGGTGGGTAGCGGTAGCGATGACTCCGAGGGCGACTCCGGGGAAAATGTATGAGTTGTTGCCTTGGCCGGTATGGTACTCCTTGCCGTTGTACTGGACTGGGGGGAACGGTGAGCCCGAGGCGAAGATGCAACGACCCTGTAAAATAGAACATTTATTTTAAGTAAACAATTTTCTGTAGAAATGCTTCAAAGGAGGATTTTTATTGAATAGGACGCTGATATAGAAACATTGGTATGAAAGATAGTCTCTATATAATGTATACTTTCTTATAGTGGAATATTTCTTCATGGAATTAATAGTTTGAAATAAGATCAATGCAAATAAAACATTTTGTCATTTCTTTGTAATATACATATACATTTGTGTAATATATTGATTTTCGACTTTAATTCAAAATGAGAAATTAATGTTCCTATGAATATACCAAAATGATGAAAAAATCCCTATTCAATCTTGGTAATTCGAGACACAGTAGTAAGAAAATAAGCGGCCGAACGCCGGCGTTCTCTTGGGGTTTGGTGAAATGAGACGATTTGGTTACATCTAAGTTACACGTGAATACTCAAGAACAAAATATAAGTGTCGTAATGACACCTCAAAATCACATTTTTATCCCCCACTACACAATAACCATAAAAGTCTAATTATTATATATAGGTACTATTTCTTTTATCTTTGTTCCATCAGCACGATTTTTATCGGCCGTCATCAGATAGTAAACGTGCCAACAGTTACACACATAAAAATCTTGTTTTTACTAGTAATAATAATAAGTTACACAAACATGACAGTTCCAGCGCATCACGATATTTTGCGCTTTGCAAATGATTTGTAGGTAAAATATTTTAAAATAAATTCTTTTAAAAAATGATATGTATGTTTTCAACGGGAGGTTAAGCCTGTGTTTTATGGCATAAGGTAGCAAACGACCGATCACTTTATGATAAGTAAGCAGTATAATTCTTATGGTATTGGGCGGTGAAACACCAGAAGAATTACGACTGCGTTGCCGGCCTTTGGCAAGGCATTTGAGGGATTTTGTGATTGGAAATAGCTAGATAGATAGAGATGTCGTGATGGACTGGAGGTTAAGGCGCTCGCTTCTCATTCATCAGAGTGCGGCTTCGGAACATGGCAAGTACCAATGTGACTTTTTCCGAGTTATATGTACTTTTTATGATTATTTAGACACCACTGACATACTGTGAAAGAAAACGTCGTCAGGAAACTTGGACTTATAATTTCAATTTATTTTTTATATTATAAGTTTGATATCGCCAATCCGCCTTGAGCCTTCGTGTGAGAAGAGGCTCAGCAGTGGGCACTTATAGGCTGATGATGTGATGTGATGTGATAGAGATGAATGAAGCGAGGATATGACGATTTTCTCCCGTCATAAATACAATTAAAAACATATATTCAACTTCATTCCACGTCATTATACCGTGAAGTTCAAAATATGGGTAAAACTTACCTCTGTATTATCGTAGGCAGCTTGAGCAGTACACTCGGCTTTACTAGTTGGGTTGGAGAGCGCGAAGATAACCGGTCGTTCTGTATTCTTAGCCATCTGTTTTAGAACATTAGGGGTGAAAGCACCACCGACCGTCGAGCATCCTGAAATAAAATAATTAAGAATTCAGTAACTTCTTATTTTTTAAACTATGTCTCATTTCGTACCTAACATCTGGCTTCACAAATTTACTGACTGACATTCTATTTTAGCTTTAGTCTGTTTGTTTATTTTGCCCTAGACTAGGATTTTTCCTGTCTCGTCACCATCATCTAGACTGGAAACAACATTTTATTTGTGCATCACAAAAAGATTTGTTTCGGGAGGAAATCACACCAGCACAACAGCAATTGAGGCAATAGTGCAATTTAGAGTCACAGTTAATGCCAAATCTATCACTCAGTCCATGTGTACCCCAAATAATATCCAAACGTATTTCACAGTAGCGTAAAAAAGATAATGAAATAATATATTTGTTTTCCAAAACCTTTATTAGCCTACGTAGTATGCGCAAATATTATCTAAGCGCAATGAACCGCAACAAATAGTCGCATTGTTATCATCTCATTCATAAATTTTCATTAATTAATATACATTAGCCATTCATTATGTTATTGTACTTCAATCGTTTGCTACACACATTATGTTGGAGCGGTTAGAAATATTAAAACACATTAATAATAATGTACACACTATTGAATGACCCAACTTAGTGTTATCCTACTATAACCTAACCTAACGAAGCTTATCAAACAACGACCTAATAATTCTTAAAATTACTGAAAAAAATCATGAGATGTTCTTCTATGTCTAATACCATTTTTTACAAAATGTACCGTCAAATCATTAAATGGATTTTTTTTATGCTATAGATCGGCAAACGAGCTGACGTATTTCCTGATGGTAAGTAATCAGCGCCGCCCATGGACACCCGCAACGGCGCGGAGGAGTTACGAGTGCGTTGCCGATGCGTTGCCGACCTTCTAGGGATTAGGGATTGCGGAGGGATTGGGGGTGGGGAAGGATTGGGCCTCCGGTAACCTCACTCACACGGCGAAACACAACGCTGTGGTTGTTTCACGCCGGTTTTCTGTAAGGCCGTGGTATCACTGCGGACCATTTGTGCCGAAGCATGGCTCTCCCACACTTAAATTATGCAAATATTTCAATGTTCCTACTGTTTCTAGATTTTTTTTTCACCAAAATCCATTTTCAAATCTATCAAGCCAACCCTAAACTATAAAAAAACTTACCAATAAGACAGCTCGGTTTAATTTTAGCAACGCAAGCTTCGAAATCTTTCTCAGGTTCGATGTTCTTTCCAAAGGCTTTCGCGTGTTCAGGAACTCCGCCTTCACGGCGGGTCGACAGTAGACCGTCCACATCGAACATGTACACTCTTTCTTGTGCTTGTTGTTCGGTCAAACCTTCTGCGACCATGGCAGCTACAGTTAAGCTGGCAATACCGTTGGCGGCCTAGTAAAGAAAATGTTTTATGTTAGTATCATTTTCTATCTACCTTATATTAACATAGAGTTTATATGAAAGCATTCTTTTGGATTTTCAGTATGCTCATGAAAGCTCCATATTCGAGATGATAAAGCATTTTAATTTAATGATGAATTGGTCTCTTCGTTTGTTCCTTTTTTATTAAACATGTTCTCTGTATTGTTCTCACATATGGGAACATTAATGCATATTAAATAATGCAATATATTCATTGACGTGATTAGGCATTATAATGAAAATTCTCTGCATTGCTTTAATGTCATTTGCTTTAAATATTTCAGATCACAAGCCACAAACACAATACACGAATTACTGTGTAATTTGTAGGCCGCACTTCTTGATCCGTGCAACTAGCATAGTTGTGTATCAAGAGAAAACTTAATGTTTTTGTGTGGTATAGTAATCATATCATCATTTTGATTTAACTTTTCGTATGTCTTAAACGTGGATCCACGCGAGACACAATGTATTTTCTATTGTGTCTTATAAACCGACATTCAACGGGTTAAGAGTCAGTCTTTTAATAATCCATGATACTAGACCTTCGACGTTAAAGTATCTAATTTTAGTAGCAAAATGGTAACTTACAGTATTTAAGTTTAAAATCTATACTTACAGAACCAGCTCCGAGGAACAGGTAGATGTTTTCACTGAGTTTCCTCTTGGTGACTCTGACGGCCGCCATGAGACCAGCGACAGCCACACTAGCTGTACCTTGGATATCATCGTTGAACGTGCAGTATTTGTTACGGTACTTCTTCAGTAGACGACCAGCGTTTATTAGAGCGAAGTCCTCGAACTGGTAACAAAGAAAGACAAACACTGAAGATTTTTTTTGTATTTCGCAAGGGGCTTTTACTTTAACTAAGGTATGTGTGAATCGATTGCAAATAAACAAACTACAAATATAATATTACATCTAATCGCACTGAATAGAATTTTTCAGTGACTCTTTATCTTTACGACTCTACCGTCAATGTGACGACAAGCGACAAAATAGGGATGACGATTCGATCAAAAATAAATAATTTCCTCTAACTTGTCACATTTATGAATATCGTACAAAATTCATAGAAATATATCGTTATGTATCGTCTCATTGCCAAGACGTATGTACTTGTATTTTTATGTCTTTTTGTATGAATTTATATCGGACTTGGTAGATCGGCACACGAGCAGACGGATTATCTGATAGGAAGCCATCGACGCCACCTATCGACACTTGAAACATTAAAGGAGTTAGAAAGAAGTAGGGTGCGGGCTTTTTATCCGTATTCGGATATAAGGATATAAGATTTGGGAATCGAGGATTGGGATTTACGGGAGGCCATACACCCGGCCTCCTGTAAAATGACTTCCACAGCAAATCGCTACGTAAGTGTTGTTTCAAACCAGGCTGTGGTATTTCTCTAGTCAAGACAACCCATTCGTGCCGAAGCATGGCTCTCCGACACTAAATATCGTTTTATATACTTTTCATGTATAAAATGAGTATATTAAGGGGTGCATTGCCATAAACCAGACGCCATTATCTGTATGTATTACCTATTGAATAACACAGAATCGAAAAACCCAATAATATTTAATATTTGTTCTTGGGGAAACCCAAACACTCGAGTTGTACTGTCTGCTGACTGTCCAACCAGCGAGGCAGTCAAAACAATTGGATTACCTATTTAAAAATACAGTTATAAATATACATTTTACAGAATATATCAGTATTACGTCCATCGGTTTATAATATCCCAGAATAATGCTTTGATATCTATCATATGCCATACGTACACAGATCTGATAATTTTATATTCAATCAAAGACGTAAGAACTATCACGTAGCGGCTACATGCAATAAATAAATACAAAGATTTTGATGTAATAGCCGAATAAAATTGCCACATACGTACAACGGAAATGATTCATTCTTCATAATTTTTATCACTGATACCAACTGTGAAGTCAATGTCATCGTGCATACGAACGCTCTTTTGTAGTTATGTTAATCGTTATGACATGTTTCATATATACAAATATATACTAAATAAACAACACTAATCTTTAGTTTTCTAAGTCTCTTTCAATGTTACTGTAAGTTCACCTTATACAGAACAAGTCTGATAGCCTTCATTAGAAACAAAATTGACAAAATCAATTCACACAATTTCCACATTTTATCGTTCGTGTATCAGTTACATATACAAAAGGCACATAGAAATATTCGCCGTTCATACGACATACTCAACTTTCGCCGCGTCCTGTATCGGGCAATGATGCCCATGCATATGAACCCCTAGCGTGGTTTGAAACGTGTCGAGTTCCTCGTAAATAATATAATTAACCTTGCAATCGTGGTAAATCGAGACGCAATAGAAGAACAAAAGGTAAGGGGACGCCGGCGTGGGCTTGGATTTGATGAAATAAAAAACGCACATAGTCGAACTTAATGCCTTAGGCAATCTCATCCAATCTACCTTCGGGTAATACAAGGACATAAAATGCAGACGCTTACAGACACCTTATTTCCAGACTAACTAGATGCTTTTATGGTAAATAGTGACTTCCTTCAGTTTTTGGGTTAAAAACTATCACACAAATAGGTTCAGTTGATTAGACGTGAAAAAAAAGACAGACAGACAAACAGACAGACAAACATTTGTAAAATAAAAATATAGCATAAATGTATAATAATCACAAATTTATAAGCAAATGCAACAACTCAACAAAGTAGGTACTTGCGTATGTAAATTAAATAAATACATCGTTAAAACAGTAAAGTCAACAATACAAATAGAAACATTTATGTAATAAGTGGCAATGAACAGTTTACAAGGAAATTCTCAAGACCAAGGTGAAATTCTATTGATACTACTGTTTTCAATGATAACATAAATACATTTTCTAGTTAGTACTTAGAGATTATTTAAATATGACTGACGCTTTGCTTGCGAGAACGGAACAAAATAAAGTTAGGATATAGCTCAAAATTAGCCGATTAGCGTATCATTTGATATAAGAGAATTATTAGTTTGCGTTAATCTAAACTTAATATATTGAATTGATTTAAGAATAAGATACATTTTATAGGAGAGATTAAAATTGCTCGTTTTGATAGTCTCAAATTCAAGAGTATATTAGTCACTCAATCTTTTTTCTTCTACTATATTTAGGTTTTTGAATGAAACCAATAAGTGTTTCTAATACGCGAAAGCATAGAGGATAATATTGATCTCCGGACCACAGGACTATAGCTAAAAAACACTTAGCTTTGGCACTTATCTGGCAAACAATGTACGTTTAGTAACGCTCTTATCCTTTTACGAGATATGTGAAGTGAACTCTATTACATTGTTATCAGGGTCGTTAATGGATAATGAACATCGATATTGGTTCGATAAATTGCGAATCAGATATGTGTAGTAAATTTGCGTGCGACATTAGTTCTATTTGATGGATATTATCGTCGTTTGAAGAGGGTATAGATTGTAAACAGCCCTCTTTCATATAACAATCGGCGTAACATTAAAGCGTGTAAATACTACTTTTGACACATTTTATTTAATAATTAATTAATTGTTAATTCCATATACAAAACGCACCTTAATAACTCTTAATCAAATATTTGGATAGAGAGAAAATGCCAACACTGACTGGGCTGTCCTAGATGTATTGTCAATTCTCTTTGTCAATGGAAAGTTTTGAATTAAGAAATAGCAACCCTTTCGTCTCTAGCGAGTAGTTGGACAGCGGCACGGAGGGGGAGCGCTAGGCGGCTAAGTTAATACATAATAAATGATGTGATTTTATAAATAAATGTGTACATTGTCTTCTAACAAACGTCAATATCACATTATGAACACTTTATACTTCATGTTACATTTCACATAATTCATGTATGTCTTCCTCTATGTTCATCTATAAATACTTAAATTAACTATTATACTATATTACTTACCTATAGTTAGGTAATATTAATGTAAATATATTTAAATGTCATGTTAACTACAAGTTTTCTACATAAGTCAAGGTCAATTTTTAATATAATTCCGCGAACTGTGCCGTAAATTTCTACATAAGATCGACATCAAAAAGTGACGTTATAAACTGAATCATGATTGATTCATGATTGTATACAAGGTAGTAATGACAATTACCACCCTGTATACAAATTTTAAATATTATAACATTGACGTCTTAAACACTGACTGTGCAAGATTTGAGTAACATTTTCATCGAACGTCCGTGAAATACATACTAAAACAAAACGTAGCGGGAAATCCCTAACTATAGTGTGCGAAACTGAATCACCTGATATTATCAGTTACATCATCGTCATCGCGGTTTGTACACGCACCTAGTGTTACTATGTTCCATATAATAGTTTATCGCGGGGGAACGCTAATATATTAATAGTTACGTCGTAAAATTTGTTTTACACCAACCTATATATATGTCCATATGGGTGTGTGCGTATGTTTGTTTTGTCTTCGCTCGGTAACGGCTAGCAAAAATTCGATAGGAATTCTAGTTTCTATACAAAGTTTGTTATTCAATTGCCACTGCTAAGCACGGAACCATGTTCATAGCACACGCCATTGTTTTTTCAATGTTATCATTCGTAACAAAAGTTGTTATACGCAGGTGATTCATAATAAATTTCACTTATATAAAAGTAATAACAAGACGGTTATTAAACTGTACATTTAAGCCAGAAATGAATCCCATGTAGCATAGTTAATGAAGGATACTACATATAAATATAGCGGAGGACTGCTAATTATAAAGACTCATAGCCAATTTCAATAACCTAACTCAAAACTGACGCTAAGATCACAAATGTAATATAAATAAAGTCAAAATCTATCTCTTATATTAGCCAAAAGAGGCAGTAAACTCAAGTTTAATTGACGTAAGTAGGTGAAATAGCGTACCTATGTATATACAGTAGTCTAACTATTTATTTATTTACAGCAAATATCGTCCGTGACATTAGAAGATCAGCGGATACCGACAGATGAGAAGCCATGCGTCAGTGTACTTATGACGTCATCGTGACGTACAACGACACAATAGTTTTACTATATTTATAGTATTACGCCTCGGTGATCGTATTATTCATTTACGATTACCTGCTAAATAGAATATATCGATTTTGGATGAATAATATTATAATGTGTATATTTTACTTCGTCTGTATATGGCTTCCTCGACATATAAATCATTATTAATACACTGTAAATGTCGTCTTGTAGGTTTCACATATATAAGATAATAATAACAACCAATCGTCAGACCAAAACATGTACCTATTATAAAAAAAATTAAATCTGATATGAATGAACGTTTGTAGGGCACGTAAAGCGACCATGACCTAGTTAGCATGGCATACATTTTATCCCGACATTGTACTAGCCATGGGCAGATTAATTGATTCAGAAAAATACAGGTAACAAATTACACCACACCTAACATGTAACACAAAAGGATTTTAATGATTAAAACCATTCCGTCCCTTCTCCTACTGATAGCTGGGACAAACCCTGCTGAACATCAGACCTATATAACCAATTACTGACTCTTGAGTTCAGCGGTTAAAGCATAATTCCAGTTAGCACTGGTTTGCCTAACGAACTCAAGACCTCTGACGCCGACTAAAGGTCCCGGGGTCAGGCCGGCCACCACTCGAGTAACAAAGCAGTCTCAAATATTAAACGTTTCGTGATAAGATAATGTCAATTTAATAATAACATATAGCAATAATAACAAATTGTAAAACTGATACGAGCCGTGGTAGGTAATGATAAATTGAAATCCGAGTCAATAACCACAAACTTATCTCTTTTATAAGATTAATATCAGTTAAGTTTAACAAAAAAGTTTGGTATCAAACTGTATCAAAATTAAATGTCGTTCAATTCTCTGATTATTATTTTAAAACGATAAGATAATGTTATGTAACTATTACACAGTAGGGAATAAGTATTTAAGGAAAATGGTCATTAAATTTTTAATTTGACCCTAGTTTTTTGTTAAAATAATGCAGTGTTTAATTGATGACAGTTTTACTTTAATGTACAATGATATTACAAAAATCAATGCCTGCTTACAGTAAAAAGAAGAAACAAGAAACCTTTTAGTAAATTATGTGTACCTACATGCGCCACACGTTTTATGAAGTACTTTACATAAAAATATAATTGTCTTTTTACGCTCCGAAGGGTTGGAATATACACCAACGTAAAAAGTTGTCAGTTTTATAGCTAATGAGAACTCTACGGACGTTAGATAGACCATCTAAGGGTAAGATCACAAATTCACAATATACACGATATTGCGAAGTCACAACACAGTCTTTTGTTTTACCTTTAAACAGACCATTATGACCTTTTGACTACTTAGATTCATATTATAAGGGTGGGTTCAGTGTTGTAGCTCCACTCAAACGATGACGATGACGAATGTTCAAACAAATGTGAAAATTTCAATACTTAAAATCGTATAAATTATAATTTATTCTATTTACGACAATATCTTAACGAGTATCATGTACAATTGTATAGTAACCCTGAACTTATACATACCTACTATGCATTGCAGCTATGTCATATCTTATCTTTAATTTCCTTCTTACTTCATAATCTTATAATAAAAATCACGTGAGTAATCATAATAAAACCTACAAGCATTTGATTGTTTTATCTACAATAATCAGACGTTAATCAGACATGTTGATAGTCAATTTGTATCCAAATGATACGAGGTGTACTTCAAAGTGTGGATCAAACAAAACTACAGGGGCATTGAGGCATTGATTAAGATCATTTATATCACCTTTTGGTAATGAAATTTTTGGGAACGTTCATCATAAACAAAAACCTATCGGAGATATCATTATTGTGATCTTTATTTTAAGACTATGCAAAAGAGGATCTGTCTATCATTGTTTATACTTTTATTTAGTAAAATACATTTAAGTGCAAACCATTTCTCCGTTTAGCGAAAATTTATTATATTTTCAGTAGTTAATAATTGGCAATCACCGAACAAAACAAAAATTGGTCGTCACTTTTGAACTTTATATAAATCAATGTTCCGTGAGAATACATGTCGATTTTATTACCAACTATTGTTTAATACAAATAAGTTTAATTAACCAACGTAAAATGGCGTGAACTTATTACATTCATTGCGTTCTGAGAAGAACGTTGGCATTTACATCCTACTATCATAGATGCGAAAGTTTGCAAGTATGGATTGATGGTTACTCTTTCACGTAAAACTACAGAATGGACTTTAATTAAAATTGGCAAGAATAACAAGTATATTTATCATTTTTATGCCATAGATATATGACCCGATAGAACAACCAACAAAATCTATTTATTTAATGGACGGTACCTCACTTGGTATCAACTCGTTGCGCAACCAAAATGGTTGACGGCGGCAAAACCAACCCTATTGATTGGTCTGGATTTTTTCTGAAGAAGCATAATGAAAGAAGTATCGTATCGTATTCCTAACTGGTCGTATTTTTTTAAGGTTTGTTTGAAGAATAATAAACGAAAGACTATCGTTACTCTTTTACTCATTTTGATCATAAATCTGAAGAATTCTTTCTCTCTTTCCTTAATGTTATAATTCTACTAGCTACAATGTTGAAGATTCATAAAAATAAATAACGCATAGATTTTCCAAGTAATCAGTTTATCTGCACATTGAACACGTGAATTTTGAGATATTAAATTTATTAACACGTGTCCAAATTGGAGTATGGCGCACGTTCTAAACTCGAGTACTATCAAATATTTATATTCTGATCTGATAATACAACTGTGATGTCTGCGATAAAATAAAAATCACGTTTAAAGTGAGGGTTGATTCATGGTGCCACGAGAAACGCTTTTGAATTGCTCTTAAGTAGCAGCATTTGGTTTATTTTTAATACCACTGAGTTTAAAATTTAAGCAGTTTTAATGGAAAGTAAAATTTAATGTGAGCTTATGACCGTCATCAACTGCCAACATCTCTTTTTGACGAGTTTACTCGAATAGCTTCAGGTGACGCCAGGGCCCAAAAAAATTAACATTGTACGCAACCGACTCTTGCCAAAATGCTTTGCATAACTAAGCAAAAATGTAAAGGCTTCATTCTCTTCCCAGAAAATACCTGGCAGATATGGTTTAAAAACAACTAAAGTATTAAACATAAAAAACTTACCTGCAGCAACGTATTTTGTCCGTATCTTTGAACGCAAGCTTCCATAAATTCGTCGATAAACTCATCGTACTCCTTGCCTCGTACGCGTTTCTGTCTAAGACCAATGTACAATGGGTCCTCTAAAAGATCCTGAAAATATTAGCCTTATTAGAATAAACATAAAGTGCATTATCCTATAAACAGTTTACTAGTAGTAGAGTAGCGTAGACTAATTCTGTTGTTATATGCTTAGTGTTAATTGGGCAAGATTTATTTGTATATAGGTGTTTAATTTTACTATAGATAAAACTTTTGAATATTTCGCGATATTTCTTTATCAAAATATCGAGAACCGTTCAAAACCAATCTTAAAAATTACTTCAATATTCTTTACATTAGCAATATGAATAGAATTATTGTAAATAGTGTAAATAAAGTCTGTAGATCCAACGGAACGAAACTTAAATATTGTGTCTCTTCCGAAACATACCAGTTTGATAAACCACGTAATATAATCGTTATCAAAAAATTTAATCGCAAAAAATATTAAGAAAACATTCACACACTTCAAAACCGCAAAATAACGAAATAAAAACTATAAGGAAACTGCACTTATAGAGAGCTATACCTACCTAACATAATTATCTATGTCAAAAATAGCGACCGATTCTAACCTTGACATTCAAAGCATATTATTATAGATTTTGTATAAATAAACTGTACCTGATTATCGGTTCCCACGTCCAAAGTAATGGGCAGGCACTGGTGGGGCTTAATACCGGCCAAAGCAGTGTATAACGAGAGTTTACCCACGGGAATACCCATGCCGTATGCCCCAAGGTCACCAAGACCCAATATCCTCTCTCCGTCAGTGAACACTATAGCACGAACATCAGGTTCAGGCCTAAAAAATAATGTTCTTTTAGATTACGTAATGTTTGGCATTGAAAACCGGCGTTTGAACCGGTTTTGGCAAAAAATGAGACAATAAAACTAACATTTCTTTGAGCTGTGATGTAATGACGTCAAGACACAAATAATCATCATTTATAAATTAGAGTTCGTTCTTTTGGCGGGAAATTAGAGGTTTAGGTATTTTGTTGAGAACTGTTTTTAAGCAACAACTAACTGGCGGAAACATAATAAAAAGGTGGATGCTTAAAAGTAGACCGCGAAGTTCAAATTTTCTTATGTTTTTGCATTTTTCTGTTGTTTTTATAAACGACAACATAACAACGTAATTCTGTTAATAGTTCTACTTTTACTTGTCAATTTGAGGGAAATATTTAACTAAATATCAAAGTCTATATTTTCAATATAGCATGAACTATTCCATTAAAACAAAAATGGGTACTATAATCAAACCAGCATCAAACAAAAATTATTGTACTCTTGAAAGCGGAGTTCCATATCACTTGACGAACGAGCTATGAATCGCGGTAGTAATTGGCAAGGTACCTTTATTAGTAACCAATATATAATATTATCACAGTATTATTTATAAGATCATGTTGATATCTTCTTTTGCCAATATCTAAATAGGTTCAGTACTTTGTTTATTTTGGCTTTGTAAATAATAAACAAACAATATTATTATGTAGAGCGATTGATGGCTTCAGCTCTCTATAGAGGTCGTATAACCAACCCAGTCGTAAGTTACTAAAATAGGTTCTATGTCATACCTACTATAGTTTATTATAGTCTATGCGTGCTAACTATAAAAATGTACTATCGCGAAGGTTGTAAAACAATAGAAACATTCGTATTTGCGTATTCTTCGTTCATTCACCGCTTTGTTTACATACGAAATACGATACGAATGAGAGATTAAAAAATTTAAGAACTCTATAGAGAAATTTCTCAAACGTCACCAATCCCAAGGACAACCGCTGAATAAGAGATGAAGGTTTTTATTTTCTCAGCCCGTAATACATTAGTTTTGTTTTGAGGGGAAAATTATCAAATGACTTTTTCGCACAGGGTATGGCGAGAGGGAGAGTCAGACCGTTACTGACTTAAAACCCTCAAGTTCTTTCTCCTACTCCAGGACGAGGCCGCGGTACCGTATTGCGATTAGTTAATGTTTGTAATTTCTTACAATCTGCATTCTTCATTTTGTTACACAATCGAAGTATTTAAGTTGAATGAAAGAAATTGTTGCTTTACAGACGAAGGATAAGGTAGATATTAATAATATTGAACGTTGTAATACAATAATATTGAGTGCGCGTTGTTTAAGCATGCCATTACTTACAGTAACGTACACAAACGATTTAATAATGCAAGCGACTTTGACCTTTCATAGTTCAATTTTAAGGGTACAAATAGGACAATCGATTGGTTAGATTATGAATAATTTAAATAATTTCCCTTTAAGGGCTGATTTTTCAATAGTCAGATACATGTTATCTGAGGAATAAAATTGTTGCTGTCACTATCTTATACAAACATTCTGACGCGACAGCGTCATAACTATTTTCCAGGTAACTTTTATCTAACCATTGAAAAATCAGCTCTAAGTATAGGTGAATATTAACACTAAAGATCATTGATTTGACAATGCCTAGACAGCTACTAAGTCTATGATTATTTATACTAATTCTGTACCATATTATTTAGAGATATTCATTACAATTGCTTAAACATTAACATTTATTATTCTACAAATATCATAGACGCGAAAAGTTTTTCAGTATGAATAGAAAAATGGATGGATGTTTATTACTTTTTCAAGTCAGAGTTAGACAGGCTGGAAAACACATAGGCAACTTTTCATTCAGGCTACACAGAACTAGTATTGATACGAACTAGTCATTCTCAGTACAATACAATAAGGTTAAAACTGTTCAAGTCTATCAAGATTTTAAAATTACGAGACATAGTTTAAGTGCGCGCTATCTATCGATTTTCCTCAGCCTTCGCCGGTCTAGGCCAATCAACGTTAACCTTTCCTTAGCATGTCTCAGGGTAATGCTTTTAAGAACTCTGTTAGTAAATATTTGAAGATATACTGCATTTTTTCTTTTAATTTATCGTTGATTTACCTAATTTTTTTAAAGTTGATAAAGATTGATAAGAATTTTAAAAACAAAAAAATTATATACTGCTTTGTTCTTAATGGTTGATGAATAGATGAAGAGTGTTGGCAAATATTGCGATGGAAAATTAGCCTTTACCACTTAGAAATTAAAACTCACCAGTTTTTAAGAATGTTGAATATGTGCCCCTTGTCGTTGATTGTGATGAAGAGACCTCTTGGTCGTCTGTAGATGAGACCGAACCTCTGACACGCGAGGCCGACAGTCGGGGTGTACACAATCGGCAAATACTTCTCAATGTTCTCGGCCAAAAGCCTGAAGAACAACTTCTCATTTCTGTCCTGCAATAATTCAATAATATTATTAAAAACAACATTCGGAACTGCTTGTATCATAGACATTATGAACTCAAATCCAGTACACAAGTAAATATGAAATGCTTTTGTTCAATTCATTCTTATTTGTGAATTACTTATAAGTTGACGAACTCATTGTGTCTCTTTTATACCAATGCCATGTTAACCGCGATCACTCTGAAGATTATAAGTACTATAATCTTGGGTATATTTTTAAAAGTTATTTTTGTGGACATTCTGTAATGGACAATCGATAGGTATCATGCTTTCCTATACCAAAAGCAATCATTCAAAGTGCACCATGGGAAAATGCACTGCACAATCATATTAAACTGTTGCAACTAATTACACCCATTATCCATAATACTCTAGAGCCATACAAACTTGATAGCTCAGTCCATAACAGCTTTTGTACATAATTGTACCAATCATTCAACAAATCGTTCAAAAAACAGATCTTTTTAGAACCAAAACATGCTCAATAACTTCAGATGTTACGTAGATTCCAAATGCACAGTCTAACACGAAAACCTCATACAATCTATTATAAAAAATGATCACCACCAATTCCAAAAAGTCCACCCAATTTCTTCAAGATCATCATGTTATTTACTAGCAAAACACACGTAAAAATACCTACCCATATACTGAGTTAAATGCAAGATATAAAACAAAGCATTAAAACTTTACACCAATAACTGTTGTCAGGTTCTTTTGAAACACCCCATACCAAAACCGGTCCCATTCCTACCCTTTATAAATAGATTCATAGAATCAACGGTACCTTTATCATGTTTAGTCACCTGTAACTCGACGAGATAAAGGTATTTATTAAGGTTGTCCTCGTATCTGTCAATGGATATCCTGCAGATATCTAGCTGTTCCTCTTGAGTTTTGAACTTGGCTGCCAAAAGGCCGTGGATGCCAAGTGCCTGACGTTCCTCCAACGTGAAAGCGAGACCCTAGAAATAATATAAAGTTTTACATTTCTACCAAACAAAGATAAAATATGAACATATTGTTGTTTTCAGTTTATGACAATTCTCAGTAAAAAACGAAATCTGAAAATGTGTCACAGGAATCGATGACCTAACTAGGAATATATTAAAGTGTAATAATCTGCCAAGCGTTATTAAAAATTCGTTGCATTTTTCTTGTTACTGTTCAACTTCTACTGAACACAAGGGACCACTTGATAAATACTTTAAGAGAGCAAAAAATCTGCATATTTTGAAGCTTTTGCTTTGTGCCGTGTTTATGTTACGGCAGAACAGGATAGAAAAGGGGCTTGCTTGGCAGTTGAACCAATTATCCTTTTAGTAAAATTATTTCCATTTAAAAACTTACAAAATAATGAATTGCGTGTCAAGGTGTCAAGAATTCTCGAAATAGGTAACAATGTTAACATTGAAAATGTGAATAAAACACAAATAAACAGCTGATAGATGTTACTGAACTTTTGACATGTACGTGACTCAAAAGTCAAAACAAGCAATTTTAAAACAAAAGTCATAAATATATTGATGTTTACGAGTTCAGTTATGACCCCAATAAGACAGTAAAGTTCGATTTTGGCAACGAATCAAGAAATGCAGTTGGAGCCAAACAAAAACTAAGGTATTCATTCGATTTGCATTTCCGATTTCTGTTTCCCACGGTATGTGGAGCACGAGAGGTATTGAGCCCAAGGTCTTTATGAAAGCTTATAATATGATTTCTAGACAATTAAGAAGTTTAATTAACTTCCGTAATGAACTTGTGCAGTTACACTTTAACACGGGGTACTTTTTTATGTTATAAGTCGGCTAACGAGCATACGGTGTACCTGATGGTAAGCAATCAGCCCCGCCTATGGACACCCGCAACAACAGAGGTGTTACGAGTGCGTTGCCGACATTTTATTAGGGATTTGAAGATTTAGGGATTGGGGGAGGGGAAGGATTAGATAGTAACCTCATTCGCGGCGACCACAAGGCGAAACACAACGTTGTGATTGTTTCACACCGGTTTTGTGTGTGGCCGTAGTAAAACTCCGGTCGAGCCAACCAATTCGCGCCGAAGAATAGCTCTTCCACACTTCTTCTAAACTTAAATTTGGGACAGGCAGGCAGGTAGTCTTGCTTGGTAAATGGAATTGCCATTAAATTGTCATTGGAAATGCAATTAGCTCGGTGCTCATCAATGATATTCATGTATAAGATTGCTCTTTTGAAAGCATTTTTTCTCTCAAATAACCTGTCAGTACCTAATGTACTAATGAAACCTAGCCAATAACAATGAAACGTATAAGGAGACGAATTCCTTACCTTATTGAGTCGTGGATCTCTCAAATGATCGATACCTCTGACTACATTGGGGCAGATTATGTTACCGGTGACCTCGTGGTAGTTCCGACTTTGCGTCGCTGATACAACGGACGCGCTCTTTGCGAGAATTGACGCTAGCGCCCTGTTTGGACCTATAGCGCTTGTACAACATCTGAAACAAAATTAAACCTTATCAACATATTGTAAAATTCGTGTTTCTAAACACGCCCGCGTTGTCAACATCGGAAAAAGTAATTTAAATTTATTTCTACTACTACAATATTCATTATTACTACAATAAACAAAACGTTCTGGAATTTTCTAACAATTAAATTTTGTACACGTTCGTTTTCCTACATCCAGCCAGAATTCCCGACGTCTGCACATTCGCCAATGCGTCATATAACCGCAATTCGGTGTTACATAACATTCCATTACCCAACGACACAGCGTATTATAGTTTTGAGTATTGTAGGTATCTAATTTACAAATACTGTACGACTGTCCTCGAATCAAACAATGGATTGATCGTCTTCCCATATTTATGAAAAAAAGACTAGAAAAAGAAATTAAAATTACGCTTACGTTTTGCAGTAAAACTCTTTTAAAATAAAATATTTTTTTGATAAAATTTAAATAAAATTTGATAAGGAAAACGATCCTTAACTTCCTCTATACGGTACATTTTCTAAATTAACTGGTGTACAGAGTGCCTAGTAAGAGTTTACTTTATGTTAAAGTGATTGACACGTATATGACGTTCGGCGCTCTGATTGGTCAGCTCGATCCTAACCAACCAATCATAGGGCTACTAGCAGTAACGTTTCGATCGCTTTAACGTAAAAATAACTCTCACTAGACACTTAAATTTCAATGGAAACCCTTATATGTACAAATACAATCGTTAATTAACAAGGTTAATTGGAATAGAAACTCATTACTGAGACTTAATTTCAGATAGGATCATCAATGACGATAGATATGAATTTGTAATGACAACATCACTACTCTGCCAACAATTAACTGTTCAACTTCCAAGTGCTAATTATGATTTAAATTGCATTAAGTATGTATCATTACCAAACACACCACAAATAAGTACTAGTTGCTTCATTAGACTTATACACAATTCTCGACGTAAATTCAGATAAAAAGATAAATTCATCAATGTGGATATGAATTTGTACTGACAACAACAACACTATGCAAACAATACTCCCATTCCAGATGATAAGATTTAAATTTTATTAGGTACTAAAAAGACCACAGTATTTGCTTCAATAAAACTAATATTCTTTACTGTGACAAGACCCTAATCACGATAACAGAACACATCCAATATCCTGAAGTAGGTGGCACTTAGTGCTGATAGTTCGAATATTGGAAACGCCTCAATGTAGTTGACTGTCTAGAGTCTATCTTAATCGAAGGTGTATCGATGTGAACTATAATAGATAGAATGGAAAGATGTATAATGAAACCAAAGAAGGTTCGAATTTATGAGGAATTAAAGAAACGAGAGAGATTACTGATATAGAAGGATAGAAGGAGAAGCAAGACAAGGAATAGAGATTTGACAGAACAGAAATAGTCAGGGTTATAAAGATGATCATAAAGTTAATTGACGTATAAATACTTGGGCGAACGTTACCAGGAAATATTCCGTATGAAGTTTCGGCTTTACAAATAACCAAACACTTTCAATTTCTCAGAATTTTAAAATGAGTAACCGAAACAGCAAAAATTCGCTGAATTAATCATCACATATTTATATTCACAACAAGTATGACGTTTGAAGAGTAATAAATCAACTACTGATTTTCACGAGAATTGAAACATAGTAAGTATCTCATAGAAAATTTAATATTTTCTTTCTCACATGGAACATGGTCAAAGTCTTGTTTCTTAAGCAATGAGGAAAACTACAACAGCGAAGTAGCAACACGATCACGGTACGATAAACTAGTTAGTTATAGTTATTACATCAAACTACGGATGAAACCGGTGCACGATGACTCACTAGCGAAGCTGCGAGCCGTGGATTTAAGAACATTCAATTCGGACTAGCGGAGATATCCACATTGCAAGTTTATAGAGGATACATTGGCAATAAATGTAAAAGTATGATTGATAGCAAGCATGATTTAGGTGAAAAGAGACACGAAAACATAATTTTACATGACAATATTATTCAAGTTTTTTTTGTGTGGAAAATCATAAAATGACTTTTCCTGCCCAGGGCCGGGCGGGAGGCAGTGCCAGACTCTTACTGACTAAAAACCCCCCTGTTCCTTCTCCTGCTCTGGGCCGAGGTCGCGGTGCCTCTTTGCGCTTACCCCGCAACCCCGGCTGAATATTATTCAAGTGCAAACTTTAAATACAGTCTTCTGAAGATCACGAACGTGTCAATGTAGACCCCAAAATCGAAAGGTTAATTAACATCCATTGTTAAAATTCATAAGGTCTAGTTGACGACCTTCTTAGAGAAACAAAGTGTCACGACCACCCCGATTGGGTAGATAAGTATTAAATACCTGCATAGATAGATATAAAAATATCGTTCAGAAAATTAATCTTTAAACGAAGAAGATTAATCTTTAGACACCAGGCTAATAAATAGAGAAGCTTAGTGACCCAATGGCAGTAATTATAGAAGCAATAGTCTAAAACAATATTGACCAATCTAGTTAATTGAACTTTGAAGGTTAAAGACACCGTACTGGGTATATACTCCAATTCATAAATTTACACCAAACACACGTACGACTTAATAGACGAATTACAAGAAACCCCAAGCAATTAGATATCCTACAAAATAAGAATTTCAATCGTAGCCATCTGAAATATTCAGAAAAAAGCCTTTTAATTCACCCCCCTTGGTTATTTGGACACATTTTTTAGACTTGACAAGTTGTAAATAACACTGTTTTTTCTATCTAATGTTTGTTATTTACAACTTGTCAAGTCTAAAAAATTTGAGACAATTTGTTTCCAAAACCACACTCCTTAAAACTTCATGATGTCTTTTCATATGGAATTAGGTCGGGAAACAATCTGGTGGTTCACTTATTGGTAAGCAATCGGCGCTACCCGTTGGTAACCAAAGAACCACCACCGATGTTACAATTTCGTAGCCCACCTTTTGAGGGTTGTTAGAGTTTTAAAGGAGTGTTAAAAACCGCTTGCTAAAACCTTTTTATGGATTTTTCAGGACGATGAATACAAAAAAGAGAACCTGTTTTCGTTTAGGCTGGCCAGATTCGAAAAGCAGTCACTTCGTTTTAAGGTAGACTTCTGAGACATAATAAACCCGCAGCTCTGTCTTGAACAACTAAACGTCTGAACGTCGACTCAATTAAGAACTGATTAGTTTTCACCTTCACAATGTCAACAAGCAAAAGATGACAAATGCTAATTCTATTACAATGGTCATTTAAGGTTTAACACGGTAATGAAGATAGATTACTTGCAGATCACCTCGTACGTCAATTACGATTCGAAAAGGGATTACTTAGATAAAAACTACATTTACTCTATCAGTTTAATCGAAAATGTGTGTTATAGCTTTGTACTTTTATAACGCAATCGATATATCTCAAGCTTATTAACCGAAATCCATTTCACGAAAGATAAACAACATCAAAACGCCGCTCCATAAGTATCCTTTTTAAACTCGTTAATCATTTATAACAGGAACGGCAGACTTAAGAATACTCGATACGATAGTCTGATGGTCTGTTACTACGTACTTCACGTTTGATAATAATAATAAATTATTTTGATCTATAAAAAACATTCGAACGTTCCGAGTGCCAGACTTCTTATGATTCCTCGCAGTGTTAACGTGCCAACAACGAATTCGCAAATGAAATACAAGGTTCATGACCTCCAGCATAGACGCCTCCATTTCTAATAATGTATTTTAGTGATGCAGCGGGCACCACAGTTTGATTTCACATGCTGAAGAAATCGTTAGTAGTTACTAAGTAAACAAAGTTTTGGCAGCCAAAATCATTACTAGACAATGGAATGTAACTGGAACTAGATATACCATGTTATTGTGTAGGATTGAGCTAGGCCAGTCAAATTATAACAGTAGACTAGCTAGTAGACCGATAGCAGACCCTATTATTGCGCTACGAACAGATGGTAAAATCGTACATCATAAAGAATCAATGTTGCAAGCGTAAAATAAAGTATATACGCATCAGCACACTCAAATCTCACCGCTAAACGATAACGGTTTTAAAAATGCTGGCCGTAACATCGATATTGAGAGTATCAACATACATACTACAATGGAAATCGATACTCGAGGAAGGAACTGATTCAATGACAACTGCGGCAGTGTTAGAGATTACTATTACATGGAACGAACCTTGTACAAATAAACATCATCACAAATAGTAACACTAATTAACTTTTTACGTAACTAGTTATTATTATTGTTGCGTTAACAAATTGGCTGGTTTTAATAGACGGAACATAACGGGGATATAGTTTGCCAGGGGCGTTGCGCGCTATACTGGGTTCAGCCTTGACTGACAGAACAATATAAGTCATAAATAGGTAGACAGACACGTACATAGCCGAACACATACATTTACTCTAATAATTATAAAAGTACAAATTGTATTACGGACAAGAACCGAAAAAACGATATACTAAAGTGCATGAGCTAAATGGTATTCCCAATTACCGTCTCTCTGTACCTTCGCGTCTCGTCATAAGCCTAGACTCTGAGTCTGAATAGACGAGATAAATATCCCACTTTTATAATAAGAAACTGCCCATGAAACACCTTGAATTGGGTTCATAAACACGCGAGTAACGGTAGACTAAGCCGTAGCGTCAGATTGATGGCGATTTATGAGTGAGCGAGGATGCGAAAAATGCGTCCTGTATCAAAATCCTCGGCGCATCGTACAAATGAATAAAATATGCATATTGTCTCTATAGAAAACTGATCTTCGTCGAGACAAATATCACCAAATCCAATCGATTAAAACAATCGTTGCTTGACGACATACTAATCAGAACAACATCATGCAACTTAGTTGAATGTCAATGTCGATCTCAAGCATTGATCTTTCTATTCTGTTTGATTAGCATTTATGCCATTTATCTTATAGGCTGGCTGAACATTGTTGGACATTGTTGGCATGGATCTATTCAGTTAAAATTGTCTGGGAGTGTGAGGTAATTGACATAATTACCACGCCCACATCGACGTAACATTTCGGATGGCACCAAACAAATTACGTAGGTATTTGAAAACAATGTTCCGATTTTATTTTTTTGTTCGTTTTTCTTTTGCATTTCTGAGTGAAAGACTGATAAATCTGTCTAGTTTTTAAATTATAAAAAAATATGATCACTGGGAAACAGACACTCACTGGATTTATTATAGGCATGTTTTAAAATACATTACATGGTAATGCTCTGTTCTGTTTATGTACATTTAGTTAATCAAACTTCGAAAATTGATAAGGAATTTGTGTTCGTAAATATATACAGCATATTTTGAGGAGATAGTATTTTAATTTTCTGGCAATCACTTGCAGTATTTTAAAGCAGAAGTAGGGCTGTCATCGCAACATCTTAGTTAGAAATAAAATGGAATTGAGGTAAATCATTGTTTTCTGTCTACCTTTCATTGATATTACTTTAATCTGGATAAAATAAATTTTATTAGAAGCATACAGAAAATAATGTCAGATCAACTATAATATTATACCTAAATACTTACATGAATGCTTAGCAACCCTATTCAAAACCATCTATTCTGTGCCAACTCACAATAGAATGGACATACTATTATTAGAATATACTTGTTTGTTGTTGAATATTACATATATACCTATATAAAAGTAAACAGTAAAAGCCATTTGAAAAATGTTAAAGGTGAAAATAGAAATCAGGACATCTATTTGAAATTATTTCAATTTGGATCTATAGCTGCATAGCTTTAGGTTATTAGTAGGCTTTTGCTCATTAATGTAGGAGTATTAATTAATTTTAATTCATTATTTCTAACCAAACTCTATTCTACACCATTTATTTATTAAGCTTTTAATGAAAATTATTATAATATTCAATTTTCTCTCCACTACATTTATTGAAATATACTGTAATAATAACATTGAATGATAAACCAATAATAAAAGCATTTCTTTACATAGAACTATTTTGCTTGCAATAAAACTGATAAAATCACAAATAAATCAGATGTTTCAACTGATAATAATTAAGAATGGGTTCTAATCAAAATTGTTAACATATAAATCAGATATGAACTGACGCAAAAACTCTAGATAAGCTGGCAGTGTTATACAATGTCAAAGACAATAATAGAAAAATTGGTGCAGAACATTCATGTAAAAAATCTTTGCAAAAAAATAATATACACAACTGGTTGAGCTTGCAAATAGATATAAAATATTTTTCCTGCAAAATATTCCACTATTCATAAGGTTTTTAAGTCAGGAAAATCGACTTTATTCATTTATTCACTAAACAGAATTTCAAATATTTTTCATTGTTATATTCAGTAGAACTTAAATTCCTGAATTTAAATATTTTTTTAGAGAAACGTAACAAACAACATTATGAGACCTTGAGTGTTTTAAGGCGACGATACATTTACTTCCTGAACTATGTGCAAATTTTGAACTGGATAGCAAGGAACGAAAGCCAAAATCAATAACGGTGAAATAATTAGTTTCCCAATATTCAACGCATTACCTCTATAAAAGAAATATTTCAGATTATTATAGGTTCACTAGCGTCCGTTTTTTGGACCGTTTCATGTCCATGTAGCTCACAGTAATTTGTTTATAGATTCGATATAAAAAACAGCTGTCACGTTATGTAAACTCCAAAAATAAATGAAAAGGTACTCACAATAAAGATTTAGACGCAGTGGAAAACATTTTAAAAAATATGTTTCATTTACACAATTTAAACCCTCGGGAAACCGCACCGCTTTCGTGTAGTCTAATTACTGAATATTTTATTTTACTAAATAATTTCAGTAACGCCCTCCATCCATGTGGCAGTGATTTGACTGAAGCATAGATTATATAGACAACCTAAACTGAAGCCAGTAGAGATGTCAATCGTCTTCGCTCCTTACTATTGCAAAACTAAAAACACATCACAACACTCATGCTGTGACATGAAATCGGATTAAAATGTTGGACATAAAATCAAGCAGAAGGAAGCGGTTAAATTATTTTCAAAATAATAATTGTAAGCCTAACAGATTTAGTCGATTATTTAACAAATTCAAATAAATTCAGAAACTGATAAAGATTTTTTGAACTGGTAATTATTTTTATTGTTTTATCTATGAATATAATTTCAGTGACAGACAGCTGACAGTTTGTACTAGAATTGGAAAAGAAAAACATTAATTCTTATCCGACGTAGGAAAATACTTGGTTAGCTCCGAATGTTTCGCTAAGGAAAATTCTCACCTATAGGGATTGTGAAAAAAGCCGATGCCATGATTCGAGAAGATGACCCTCAGTTTCGGATTACTCCATTCCAGCAAATGGCATCGGCATGTTCCGGTGCTCTTATAACCTCGTTATTCAGTGAGTTTCCACTTAACTCTTACATCCAGGAAGTTTTTAGTGTTGTTAATTCTTGTCTTTGACCTTAATTGAATGTTTGTTTACAGTGACTCCACTAGATGTGGTTAAAATAAGACTTCAAGCACAGCAGAAGGCTTTGCTCTCGAATAAATGTTATTTGTACTGCAATGGGCTCATGGAACACATATGTCCCTGCGGAGACTCTGCTTGGATTCCGAGACGAGTACATTTCAATGGCACAATGGTACGAATACCCCTTCTTATTTAGTAACTCTACAGTTTGGTAAAAATGGTGATGTTCGATTTTGGATGAAATAAATTGGAGAAACATGTTAAAATCGTAAGATAGACTTCACATACTCCACCTATAAGTCATTACACATTTAAACATAATTATTTTAATACTATTTTATATTTTTGTTTTGTTGTAGGATGCTTTTTATAAAATAGCAAAATCGGAAGGAGTTCCTGCTTTATGGTCTGGGCTAAGTCCTACATTAGTCCTAGCCCTTCCATGCACAGTAATTTATTTTGTCACTTATGAGCAACTGAGATATAGAATGAAAACAAATTACAATAATTTTACTAATAAGGGTAAGTAATTAATTATTTATTTTTAATCCTTTACTTGTTAATAAATAGATAGTTTAATTTTAAATATATTTCTTAGCCAAAGTTATTTATGACAGCACAATCATAAACACATTATTAATTAAATTTCATCAAAAACATAACCACCTAGTAACATTTTGGGTCAATTAGCCATTATCAAAAATTATTTTAAATATGATTGATGGCCCAGATAGAACATATATAAATTAATACACATAACATTATGTCTTTACACACACATGATAACAACAGACACATAATTAAATCAACCTGTCAAGTTCCTATCCTTGACTTCAAGGTCAGAGGTAATGCAAATAAACAAGTGTAGTTTTTTTAATTTTTTTTACCATCATGATGATTTTGCAATTTTCAGATAGCTACATGAAATATTTTTTACTCTTTTGGGTAATAACAGTAACCTTGATAATTTATAAAACTTTGATTATGTTCTTGTTTCAAGTAAGAACTAAGTTAATTTGTATTGGTAATAGAATCACTAAACATTTATATATTTACTATGTAATTAGATGTTTCATGCACTTTACATAATATATTAGTATAATACTCGAATATTTCCAAAGTAATAAATAAAAAATATTATAGTAATTATTATTTATGTAGGTAATGTACATGCATGTGTGATTACATGCATTCAAATGACATCATTAAACTGAATCAATATTGTCTAATTTTACACAAACAATAAAAAATACAAGTTATGTAGAACATACTATTTAAATTTTTTATGTTAATTTATTTCAAATTTTATTTAATATTACAAAGTTACACATATCTGCAACAAGAACTATAATATTATATAAACTAATGATTTATCTAACAGTTGTAAATTATGTAACCATTACCATTTTATAAACAAGTATCATTTCCAATCAACCATATTGAAAATGTCACATGGTGCCCATTAGCTGACAACATTGCACAACTCGAAAATTGATAGTCTTCTCATTTAAGCCTTTCAGATGAAGCTGTTTGTGCACATCTAATATTTGATCACACAATTTGAATTTAGATAAAAAGTAGCCTTAATATTTAAAAAAAAGTAGTGTCAGCTGTTTACCTGCCACCAATTACTTTTTGAAACAGTGTTTTGTATAATTGATAAAATTGAATTATGCGGTGTTGTAAGCTAAAAAGTATGATGGGTCTAAGCTATGTAAATTAAAACAAAGTTTTTTTTTATATTTTAGCGGGTCAGCCAATGTGGATTCCAATGCTAGCAGGAGCAACAGCCAGAACGATAGCAGTTACTATTGTCAGTCCTCTAGAACTAATAAGAACAAAAATGCAGTCGAAAAAATTGACATACTCAGGTATAGTTCTCAGATACGTTTTTCACATATTTTCCTGAATCTGTCTGTCTGTTAATCTCTGTGACCCTTGATTATTTGATTGTTACACTCCCTTAGATTTGCCAAAACATAAACAGAACATTATTAGGTAATTAACATTAAATGGCAACATTACAATTTTCAAAGTAAACTCCTATTTATAAATAGACATTGTAGATAATGTTTATTATAAGCATGTATAAGGAAGGAACTTTGAACCTTACAAATATTATATGTTAGTCACGTATTTGATAACACCTTTTAGCGATAATAGAATATAAACATAAATATTTAATAAAAAGTATGGAAGAACCGAGCTTCGGCACGAATGGGTCGGCTCGACTGGCATGATACCACAACCTCAGAGAAAACTGGCGTGAAACATCTACAGCGTTGTGTTAACGGTGTGAGTGAGTTTCCCGGAGGCCAAGTCCCTGCCCTCGTCCCATCCCCCCCAAACCCTATATTTCTTCGAAACCCTAATTCCCAAAAGGTCGACGATGCACTCGTAGCTCTTCTGGTGTCTTGTTGTATACCATCAGGTATTCCGAGGGCTTGTTGCCGACACACCAAATAAAAAATAATTTGACCAAGAAAACTACCTATTATGAATTAACAAAATAATCAAATAAATACATTTATTTCAGAAATAATGTCTGCATTAAGCCAAGTCGTAAAATATGAAGGATATAAAGGACTCTTTCGTGGATTGGGCTCTACGTTATTGAGAGATGTACCATTCTCAGGTAATTAACATATGTACATAAATTCTCAAACACCTTCTTGTTTAAGGTCATGTGCAAACTATTCTACTTGTCAATAATATAATATAACATATGTTTTCTCGTAATTATGCACATTCTTGTGTTTATTCATAGTAATGATATCATCTTTACTTATGAAATTTACCATATTCACTGTAAAATAAGTAAAACCTTAAATGGTACTAATGGACTCGAAAAGAGACGGACTTCCCAGTTTGTTTTGGCTTTTTCTCAGAGATAATTTTGATGTGTAAAAGGGCTGGTAGTGCTTATGGCCAATACATTATTTCAATGATAACAGAATAAATTAAAAACTTTATTTTCAACTTGTACTAGGTATGCTTTACTGATTACTCAAAAAATGAAAGGAGACTAATATTTATTACGACTATTTCAGGTTTATATTGGACCACATTTGAGACGACAAAGAAGTTATTTAACAAACCTGACTCTGAAAAGAATACATTTTTGTTTAATTTCTTTTGTGGATCAGTCGCGGGCAGTGTAAGTTATTGCTTATTTACTTTATAAATGCTAAACTAATATAATTTAATTTTTACATGAGTGCATCATAATAAATGTATATATCATAGGTTATTGGTAAGTTACTCATTTCAAACTTCTCAACATTATTGCATCATATTCTCAGGTACAAACTACCAAAATAAAAGATCATATTCATTGAGATTATAAAAATAAATTTCAACAGATTAGTCTGATATGAGATCCAATGGGGTTTCCAGATAAGATAAAAAACAGCAAGTGTTATCTATGTCATTGTCTGTTTCAGATTGCGGCGTTAGTAACACTTCCATTCGACGTTGTCAAAACACATCAACAAATAGAATTAGGTGAAAAAGAAATCTATACAGGTTGGCAACATTTTATTTGTTTATGCTTCCGTCATACCAATCAGGTGATATTAGCAAAAAAACAAACTGACAATATTTTTAATGTTATGACGTCATTTACTAGTAGAGCTATGATTGGATTGCATTGCAGTCACTGTATTGCATGTCGTTATCTTTGTTGCTAGTTCTAAATGTAATTTTTCGTTTACAATGTGTAATGTGTTTAAGATTGGTTCTCCAATGTCGTTAGTTTCTTGCTCGTTCTCTTTTTGGATCTAAACTTACACCCGGTTTCTGAAAGGCTTCTCAACGCTAAAATTAACTAATCTCCTGTTAAATCTCTTGTCAAGTCATCTGATTGGTTGTTGATAATTCAGTCAACCAATCAGATGACTTGACAAGAAATTAAATTCATTTTAACATTGATCGGCCTTTCGGAAACCGGGGTAAGCTTCACAGTCGAACAGACTTAGACTATCATTCTACTTCAATGTTTATAAAGTACGTTTTTATGGTTTAGTTGCAATAAATTATTTTGACTTTGGCCTTCTTATTTAACTGCTTTATTATATATTAATTGCTCATGTAGTTTGCAGATTGTATTTATCTTTGTTTTTGTTGATGTCTTTACTGTTTCAGATGGTAAAGTCCATCAAAGAGCATCAAATATGAAGGATATAGCACACACAATATACACCAATCATGGATTTAAAGGATTGTTCACTGGTTTCCTGCCTCGAATATTCAAAGTGGCACCAGCATGTGCGATTATGATTGCAACCTTCGAATATGGAAAACAGTTTTTCCAAACATATAACACTCAGAAATATAAGGAAAAGATGCAAAGGTAGATAGCCCAAATATTTTTTTTTATGTAAAGATGTTAAAGTTTATACGAAAAATCAAAACTCTTATTAATGTAGTATTATAATTTATAATTTTAAGTTACAGTATTAGCACAAGAAAAGGTTGTCCCATTTGTCTAATTATGTAATTTACAAACCTCTTTGGTTGGCACATTTCTCAATATTCCTATAAAACTATTAATTTCAGTAAGGGTAAAGATATCACAATAATTAAAACCACAGATTGATAAATGGACTAATGTGATAAAGGTATTTAAAAAAATAGTCTTATAATTTTATTTTCAGACATAAATAATATTGATTACTTATATCTTTGAATAGGGTAGTTCTGTCGAGTTACAATTTTATTGAAAACTTAGCTTACCTTATCAATGAACTCGTATTTAATTATTATATTAGATGTATAATTTAAAAGATTGTAGTTATTAAATTTTGCAGAGACTTTGACTTTGGAAAAATTATCGCTATTTATTTTATTTTTTTACCTTAACATATATTTTTTAATACATTTCAGGCACCAAGAAATAGTGTTGATGAGCCAAACAGCCAAAAATGATTATTCATAAAACGACAAACGGGAATATCACTGTTTAGTTAATTAATAGAATACAATAAATGTGATAGAACTGTAGTACAGTTTGTATTTTATGGCTGTTCATGTTGTTTATGGTTACCAAATGTACACTAACTTTAAAGTACCATTTCCAATTGGTATGTAGTTGAAATATTGTTTTTCAATGTTGTCAGAAGTAGTACACACTAATACATATTTTTAGGAATAAGATATTGCTAGTAAATCACTAAAATATACCTTAGGTGTTGAAATTTAAAGAAAGAACAAGTGATGACTCTGCTGTAAACAAATTTGCACTGTTTTTTAGTAGTTTCATTAGTACATTGCTTTGTCCATGTGAAAAATATTCAATACAAGCTTCCAAATTATAAAGTAAAATCTTAACTGGTGATTTAATCTATATGGATTAATAGGTTCAAGAAGATTTCAGAATTTGTATAACATGGTATGAAATTGTACTCAAATTGGTTTAGTGGTTTAAAAGATGAAGGAATCCTGTGGTGTTTCAGGAATAAAATATATCATTCGTCTTTTTTCTGGTCTCTAAACTTTCGTACTGAATTTTACGCAAATGTGTTGTGAAAGGAAAGACTGCTTGGATATAAACTAATAGTTCCTGTTCCCATGGGTTTTCATGAATAAAAACTACCCGATTTGAAAAACCCTTTCAAATGCCTATGTTATACAAAGAATACATTCTCAATGATTTCTACTCACTCACAAAGTTACATAGATAAAGTAGAATGAAATATCAGGATATTAAATTGAATGGTATATTAGTGACCGGTCTGTCCTTACACTTATTTAAATCGAATATTAAAAATATAATTGAAACTGTCTGTTGTTGATTGTTTTTTTATTATATATTTTTTGTTTTATTTTGTTATTCAATTTATTTTGTATAATTGGAACCTATGTACATATGACAACAGAAATTACGGTTTGTAAATATTCTTACAATGACTTTGTAAATAGTATGGAATAAAAAATTGTTATATTTTAATGCCTCATTTTATTTAGACTGCTTACTGCAAAGTTCAGCATTTCCCAAAGGCTGTTCTACCATAGACTGGTTATTTTTACATTGCCTTTTCCATGATCCATCAAGTGTGAGTAAAACTTAAAATATATTCAAATAATATATGATAAAGTGGCAAAATATCGAATCTGGTGAGCATTTTGGAAAAAGGTTATATTTTTTATTTTATTAACTTTTGTATTGCTTTTTAAAGCCTGTTTTATTATTACTACATAGTATAAAACAGTTGCTTCTCTAACACTATATATTTAAGCTTAAATCTTTAGAACAATGCAATGGATTTTGATGGGGTTTTATAATAGACAGTGATTGTTGTGAAGTCAGGGAGGGTCGCTGGTTCACTATAAAGTGCAGTTTGTAAATACCTTATCAACACACTAAGGCACTATGTAGGTTGCAGTGACAACTAAGTTTTATGGATATTTACAAATACCTTCCTGTAATGTGTATGCTCAAATTGGCCTAACCAAAATAAAACAATTATTTAGTAAATAAACTTATTTATTACATGTTATTCTTAAAGTTATTAATGAACAATAGATCCCAACGGTTCTGCTTTGATATTACCAAGGTCTAATCTGCTGTCTATAGATTCATCTATTTGACCAACGATAGCTACATTGTCACCGCGTATTATATGAAGTCCAAGCACCACCTGCGCCACACCAGATGACGAAGAAAACACTCTTTCATGCGATTCATCCAAAATAATATTAATAGTTTGGTCAAATCCTTTTAAAGTTCCAATAAAGTTACGGCCATCAGAAGTTATCACTGACACAGTTTGGTTCACATAATTTTCTAGTCCCGAAGCCATTGTTATATAATCTTGACTATCGGTTACAATATTAGCTACCTACTAGAGTTTTGTACTTTAATATCAAATTATTATCGTTTGAACACCATCTAGCACGCCGTTAAACAAAACATGTCTAATGTGACATTGACAAAATAGGATTCTAATTGGCAGTCTATGTCTAGTGACGCTTATTTTTTTTTTTTGCATTGGCAATGGTGCGAGCATAGACGAAATTACTAAACCAATGCCACAGTTGACATTGACACATAGTGACAGTGAATGACAGTAACAGAGAGTTGTAAATGAAGTTGTAATTGCATTGCAATCCCAATATTTTTACAATATGGAAATCAATAGAATTGTATGATAAGTTAACTAAGTTTTTCAAAGGCTATTATTTCAACCCTTTGTCTATTACTTGCCTCTCTGACGGTAGTGAATAACCTATTAATCCCGAATCTAAACGAATATTCGAAAAGCTAATCATGTCTAATACAATTGTTCAGTATATTTTGTTACGTACTGACTTATTGAAGGAGTTAGGATGGTCAATAGGATCCGTGGTGGCGCAGGCTTGTCATGCGTCTACCGCTGTTCTTCATTTGTACAAGGATGATGAGACGACGATAAAGTATTTGGACGATATGGATAATATGCACAAAGTAGTGTTAGAGGTATCAAATCATAATACCTATCACTATTAAAACTAATCTAATAATTAGTTCTACTAGAAATAAATCTAATAGCCACCTTTGATTGTTCTTTAGCTTCCTTTTTCCAAACACTTTTGCAGAACTGAAAATAAAACCATACTATAACTTAGTATGGTTTTATTTTCAGTATTTTGGTATAGGATGTTGAACTAAAAAACTTCAGTAAACTACTAAAGCTGAAAGTATTTTGTAAAAAAGTTCATACAAGTACATATTTTTTCTGTACTTTCCCAGGTGCCAAATGAAGAGGCATTGAAAAAGCTAGCAGAGAAATTAAAAGAAAACTTCATATCTCACAAACTATGGATAGAACAACCTGAGAACATACCAACATGTATAGCTTTGAAGCCATATCCTAAAGAAGAGGTGAAAAAGTTTGTAGGCAAATATAAATTATTAAAACTCCAAATAAATGGAGAATAAAGCATTTATTAGTGTAAGTATTACAAATATTTTATTGAATAAATAAATATTTATTTATTTAAACATTTTGTTTTTACTACATTTATTCTCAAATAATTTTACTATTGAAAAGAGTTATTAAATAGGTTAGGCTGTTAGGTTTTTGCACGCTGGTGTTTATTATCTTCTATTGTTTTTCACCACACTATTAAAATTAATTATAGAATTTATGTTCCTTTACATATAAAGTAAAAATAAACCTGTACAATTGTCTGTACTAGTTGTTTACAAATACTAATACTTATAATTAGTAGTGCTATAATTTATTTGCTTTATATTAGTAGCTAATATGTAGTAGTTTAATAGGATAATATATTTAGTGAATCTGATACAATAATATAAACATAACAGCAGGCATAAGTAGGTCCCTTAACAAAACATATAACTACTTAAGTACCAGAATCTGTCTGTGTGAATTAATAGTAAACTAGCTTTTGCCTGTGCCTCCGTTTGCGAGGTATAGCGAGTTCCTGCAGATTTTTGGTAGGTATAAAAACTATCCTGTGTCCTTTCTCTAGTTCCAAACTATGTCAGTACCAAATTTCACAGAAATTAGTTCAGTACCTAGTTTAGAAGTGAAGAAAACACAGACAGACAGAGTTACTTTCGCATTTATAATATTAGTTTGGATAAAGCCAAATAGCTGAAAACTCCTAAGGCAGCAAGTCCTCATAGTCTAAAATGGTAGAATTCAAATATTTATTACCTACTCAACAGTTAAAAAAATTTGATAAGCTCACATTATCTCTTTGTTTAAAAATTTTTACTCTAGATTTGGTGCTAGTCTTAACACCACTCTTTTTTGACTCCCATACTCTTCAGGCGTAGCCCCGACGTTATGGAAGACAGCCATACTTCCCTCTTCTTGAAAATATTGGAGTCAACCATTAACTGCCAGCTCCTTCGGTACTTCGAAAATCATCAGCTTCTTAGTGATCGACAGTATGGTTTCGGTAAGGCTCGGTCCACTGGTCATCTTCTAGTCTTCTAGTTTACCTGACACACCGTTGGGCACAGACGATCGAATTCGAAAGCGATGGCAGTCAGTTCGGACGTAGAGAAGGCCTTCGTTCGGTTCTTCGGTTTAGCATGATACATTCAGTCGAAGTGAACGCTGGTGCCCTCAAGGCTGCGTACTATCGCCCACTCTGTTCCTCCTCCATATCAATGATATGTTGCAAATTTAATTAGTGGCATTCATTGTTATGTGGATGACAGCATAGGTGATGCCAAAGAGTATATAACCTCTAGAGAGCTTATAGGCCGATTTCTTCTAAGAACACGACTCACCACCGCGACGAGGAATAACGCGCGACTGCAATTGATCAGTTCAAGGTCAAGTTGCGTAGGTATGGCTGTCGTAAGGATGATCTATATGATTTAAAGGAAAATAGGTAATATCGATAAAATGGTGTTATCAAGTCTGCGATTAAAAAAATTATGACTGCTCTATTATCTCGGACCGGTTGGACTCTTTGGTACTGCGTAGGAATGTAGCCTCGCTATGTGTTCTCTATCACATATATCACGGGGAGTATTCTGAGGAATTGTTCGGTTTGATCCCGCCGCATCTTTTTGCCATCGTTCTACGTGAAAGCATCATCATTCCTATCATATTGATGATTGGCAGCCAACAACTGTGCGATTTACACAAAACTTTATGCCCCGCGCAGCAAATAATCTTTCGGCGGCTTTTTTTTTGTAAGGAGAAAATCATTAAATGTCTTCTCCCGCCCAGGGCCGAGCGGGAGGGAGTGTCAGACTCTTACTGACTAAAAACCCCCCTGTTCCTTCACCTGCTCTGGGCCGAGGTTGCGGTGCCTCATTGCGCTTACCCCGCAACCCCGACTGCATCTTTCGGCGGTTGTATTCCCGAACCGATACGACCATCAAACCGTCAAGAAACGAGCGTAATTCTTCTTAAGCTTCCGGCAACGCGTCTGTGACACCTCTGGTCCTGCAAGTGTCCATAGGCAGCTCCAATCACTTACCATCAGGTGATACGTTTGCCTCCTATACCATAAAAAAACATGTGGTATCAGCATATTAATATGTGATAACTGTGCAAAAGAATGTCTTTTGAGAAACCCAGTAATCCATACCAACAAAGCTCGTTTTGCTGGTATTGATGTCCATTGGACAATGTCAGCTAATATTCAGGGAATCTATCAGACTGTTTGTCTTCTGGTAGCCTATTAAAAAACCTCCAAAAAAAATATCGTGAGACAGTTACGGAATACGTATCAATAATGAATATTCATAGTAGCCATTAATAAATTAATGTTGTGTAATTCTATAACAACCTTCTTTCGGCCTGAGATTTCTTATAACATTACTAATTATATTGCAATTAACTTTGCCCTATACTTCTCGGTCATAACGTATCTGCCCTTGTTATAGTAGGTACATATTACGCAAACTACGCTTACCTATGTAATGAACCTAGTTGAATAGCGACATTATTACATAAGCCTTGAAAATATTATACCCGAGAACTTCAAAGGCAATAAATGTAATAAAATGTCGTCACTTTGATAATTTATTAGCTATCCCTGTTTATTTTTACCTGCTCTCCGACTTCCATAGGTCGTAGCGGTTTTTTTGTCAGACTCTTACTGACTAAAAACCCCCCTGTTCCTTCTCCTGCTCTCGGCCGAGGTCGCGGTGCCTCATTGCTGCGCTTACCCCGCAACCCCGGCTGAAGGTCGTAGCGGTAACGTTATGTTTAAAGCCCATGTCATATTTGCACTAAACCTTTTTCCTATACATGGAAAGATTCCACTGCACAGTTGACACGGTGACTGGGCGACCGCCTACGCATGCAGTCCAACGTGTCGAAGGTTCGATTCCCGTACAAAGCTTCGTATGATCTAAAGAGAAAGAAACTATTCTATCTAAGAAACATTTAGTCCTAGTGTGGGGCAATTTTTATATTGAAAAATGTATAAATGAAACACTTTCAATACAACCCAGCTGTTTTTTTTTGTGATGTAGCGGCAAACCAGCAGGACGGATTGCCTGATAGTAAGCAATCAGAGCCGCCCATGGACACCCTCAACAACAGAAGAGTTACGAGTGCGTTGCCGACCTTTTGGGCATTAGGGATTGGGGTGGGGACTGGGGAAGTAAGTAGGTCTCCGGTAACCTTACTCACATGGCGAAACACAACGCTGTAGTTGTTTCACGCCGGTTTTATGTGAGGCCGTGGTATCACTCCGGTCGGCCCTTTCGTGCCGAAGCATGGCTCTCCCACACTTTCTTTTCACACAGTTTCTAAGATTAGCTCGTTCATCCTATTAAGCATACAAACAAATTCTTCTATTTTATAGTATTCTTATAGTTAGTTAGATTAGTTATATTTGAATAAACCAGTTTCGCCGTAATAGATAGGTATTTTTAAATTTGAACGTGACATTTTGATTTTTATTATTTTTGGTTTTCATTTTCATTTCTGATTATGCGGATATAGCCGCATTCATTAGCAATAACATCAGATACTTATATATTAGTATTTTATTCACCTATATTTTCTTTTCAATTCTTCTTTATCAGACATCACCTTATCGCAACCTTTTTTCGTGTAGTTTCACTTTCGTCTCTGATCAATCTGTCTTCACTTTGAACATCGCCACGAAATCGATTCAACTAATTATGCCTCAGATTATTTAAATTCGTTGCTTTATTTACTTTGCGGCTTTTATTCTAGAAATATAATATATGATAATCATAGTTTGTTAATTTTTACATATTTAATATAATATACCTACACGCCATGAGCTGTTTGACCTTGTAAGTTTAACATGGTTAAGTAGGGACCGGTTTTGCTTCGACGCTTATTGTCTTGACGAATACTACCTATGTATGCAGTCGAGTTCAAAAATGAATTATTTTTCCCTAAGACTGCCCTTCATAGTCCTTCTTAATTGAGGTTGCACGGGCAGTAACTTTATCTGGGGTGAAACAAATACTTAAGTACTTACCTAATATTATTGATACTAGCACTGCATACAAAGATAAAGTGAACGTGACGTCTTTATGGCAAATGTAATTTAAAAAAATAAAACTACCATGGATTATCAGCAATGTCAATCACACCCTCTTACACATCTGCAGCCGCAGAAACAACTATGAAAACGTCATATGACAATCCTGTTTTTATTTTCATGTTTATCTCTTATGTAGGGCTTTTATAGAAGCTATAGCGCCTCATTTAGCTTTAATTTATAATAGAAGTGTAGATCAGGGAGTTTTTCCAAATTTGATGAAACATAGCAAAGTAGTTCCACTGTTTAAATCTGGCGATGATACCGATCCTAATAATTATAGGCCGATATCTATTTTACCGGTGCTTAGTAAGGTGTTTGAAAAGCTGATGCTTTCTCAGATGCTGCGTCACTTTAACATGAATTCCATCTTTCATGATCAACAATATGGGTTCACCAAAGGTCGATGCACAACTGACGCCGGTGTAACTTTAATTAAGCGTGTTTTTGCCTCGTGGGAGGAGTCGCACGACGCTATTGGAATTTTTTGTGACCTGTCCAAGGCTTTTGATTGCGTCGAACACGAGACACTGTTGCTAAAGTTGGAACACTATGGTATTCGAGGGGCTTCACTCAATTTATTAAAATCATACCTCCAGGATAGGCAGCTCAAAGTACAGGTAAACAAAGTGAATTCTCAGGGTGCTAGCATATCTATGGGCGTACCACAGGGCTCGATATTAGGTCCTTTCCTATTTTTGGTCTACATAAATGACTTACCTCATTTATTTCAGCGAGAACCGGGAATGGTATTATTTGCTGATGACACATCGTTGATTTTTAAAATAAATAGACGGACAAATAATTATGACGAAGTAAATAATGCTATTACGAAGGTTCATAACTGGTTTACAGTTAATAATTTAGTTCTAAACGACAAAAAGACAAAGTGTATACGATTCAGTTTACCAAATGTAAAAAGTAACGAATGTGACATATTATTAAACGGCAAGAAATTGGAATTTGTAAAACAGACTACTTTT